GTGAAAATTAATCAAAATTTTAACAATTATTTATTGGTTAATTATAATATTACTACAATTCATTTTTTCTAAATTTAGAAAAAAATACAAAATTAACAATTCATTTATATAGTCAACATAATTTTTTAAAAACGAGTTTAAAAATTAACAATTAGAAAAATTTTAATTAATTTATTATTATTAATTGCTAATTATAATTTTATTGGAATTTACTTTTCCTATTATAGTGAAAAAAATACAAAATTAACAATTGAAATGATTTAAAGTAATTAATTATTAGTATTCCATTTTATTTGTTGTTTGTTTCTACAAAATTGGTTGTTTTTATTTGCGAAAAAAAAATAATTTGTTAATGTAAGAAAAATAACGTATCATTCTGCTTTGATATGTGAAAGTACATAATACTTTATTATTGTCTCATTAGTATTGTTCCTAAATCACGTAATTTGTATTCAATGTCGCTTAACTAAGTCAATGTTATATTTACTAATTATTATTCAACCTTAAAATGAGTTGTTTGTCACATTGCGTAAATACTTTTGTCAACTTTAAATGCGGGACCAATTATTGTGAAATTCATGTCATTTTTGCGAGACCCCATATTTCACAAGTTAAGTAGAACAAACAGTGTAAAAATTGTCACAAATTCTCCCTCTAAGAAACAAAATTTTTAAAAGAATATTTATAATAAATGATTACTTTTTTAATGATGGCTTTAATTTTTTTGTAAATTAACTGGATAGTGTATTATGGTTTATAATTAATTTATTATTTAATTAATAAAATTAGTAACTAAATATATTTTCGTTTTAAAACTAAAATGTCTTTTTTTTAATTTAGTTGACTAAGTACTAAAATTATTGTAACAGTCAAAAATTACTTTCAGTAATTGAAATTTTCATTAGTAATTTTTAGTATAATTGTCTTTTAATAATTTACGTAAGTAATAAATAATAATTTAAGTAGAATGAATTGTTAAATAACAATAGCTTTGATATTTGATAATTCATATAAACATTATAAACATTAGAACATTGAAACTAAAATTAATTAATTTTTAATTGCACATTAATTTATTATTTTTAATCAATAGAATTAATTTATTAACATTTAAGTAATTAAATTATTGTTTATTAATTAATTAAATTATTATCAACACCTAATAAAAATAATTTTTTATAATACCTAATAATACCTAATAAATATGATTTTAATTGTTGATTTTTTTTCGATTATCCACTTTTCTTCTTATTACGATTACTTCACGTCTGGAACAAATGAACGTGAAAATAATGAAAAGAAAACTATTTTAAACGTAGATTCGTCGTCTTTTTTTTAGCAGGAATCTGCAATAAAAGCAGGAAGCGTCGCACATCGTCCTGAAGTAAACAAAAATTATAGTTGATTATTATCCATTGGTGCAATTTATTACATGACTAGTTGATGCTATTTATGTAATCTCTTGAATATGTCAACACTTTTTTTTTTGTAAAAAAAGAAGAAATATTTATATATGCACCAAACAATAGATTTTTAAACTATATTTACATAACGGATCGTAAAATAATTCTAAACGTCCCATATATAATATTTAAACAATAGTGAACAAAAAATAAATAAAATTTAATAAACTATAAAAAATTTCACATCTTTATTTAGAGAGTATACTTAATTTTTACTTCCTACAAATATTTTGTATTTTCTATCTTTTTACATTATCATTATTTCAAATATTTACTTTTTATTTATTTTATTACCAAAAAAAAAAAAAAAAAAAAACCTGTACAGAAGAATTAAAATTTATTTTTAGGAAATTAAATAAAAATTATTTATATAACTAAGAGAGTGATTGATATTGTAATAAAAGAAAAGGTGTCAAGCATTTTTTTTACCGCGCACGATTCTCATGACCGATGATTTACGTATCAAGATCTTAGCACCGTTATACACATAGATACATGTGTACAACAGTTATCTAATAATATTAGTGCAACAATTTCTATGACAAAATTAAAGAGATTATTTTCGAATTAAATAAAATATGCGGTAGTTTATTCACTGTATTTTCTTGGTATATTTATTTTTGTTTTTTTTTCCCAGTATTATTTGTTTATTCATTATTTAATTACCATTTGTCTGTTTATTTTATTTTTTCGTTTAAATATTTCATTCTCGTTTTATTTTCATTTACAGCGCGCGCGGATTGCATAATTAATTTTTCCCTCATTATAATTTATCATTAATTTCGGATAAACAAGCCTTGTAAAACAGAAGTCAATTGAGTTAAAATTATAATAATTAGTTTAATTTAATTCATACAGTAATTAATTAAATTTAAAACATAATAATTAATTTAATTTATAATTGAATTTTTTATTGAATTTTTCTATACAATGGAAAAAATTATTAATTATTAGTAAATAAATAATTACAGGGTTGACACAAAAATTTAATTTTGTTCTTCCGTGACTTTTCTCTAATTTTCAGACAAAATTTTTACTTTTTCCTTGACCCTAAAGAATATTCTAATTCACTATCTAACAATGATTAAATAATCAAAAAAATATTCTATTACATTTATTTACGAATTTCTTTAATTGTAAAATTATTCGAAAACATCAATAGTTTTATTTAAGATAAATATTTATTATTATAATATTTCTATAGGAATTAAGATTTTCCAAAAATTTCAAAATTAAACCTTTTGAAATTTAATACCTAACTGATAAGAATATTGTTATAAAACATAAAGAAATCGATCACTCCGAGTCTTCGACCCGGAGCAATCAATATCTTCATGTTTTATAATAATTAAAGATGACCGAGATGACAATTATTTTCATTTCAATTCAATTATTATTTTCTACAATTTTTAACTAAAATTCTTCCTTAAAGCAATTATTTAAAAAAATTTTTGAAAAAGTTCTTTGAGAATTATTAAATCTATTTAGTTACAATTCAATTTTACGAAATCTTAATTATACGAAAATTCTTCAATTAAATATATATTAGAAAATAAAAACTTCAAATAATTTTAAAAAAATTCAATCAAACTCTTTCAAAAAAAAATTCTACAAAATTGTTAATTAAAAGTTTGAAAAATTCAGATTTTTAAAGATTTTAATTTGACACCTTTTCGAAATTCAATTATGTCTAAAAATTCAGACTATAATGCTTTTAATGTTCAATTAAAATCTAAAATTTTAACTTGTACTTATTTTTAAATCAATTTTTATTAGAAAATTCTACGAGAATTCAATTATTTAAATACAAAAATAAATTATTTATTGAATAATTTAATGTTTCTTAAAATTGAATTCTTATAAAGAATTTTTTCAAATTGTGATTAATAATTATCAATCAATCCAATTCAGGCGAAAAAAATTAAATAAAAATTGTGTGCAGTCGAAACGTTAAATGGAATCTTTATTTTATTCTTTTGACTGACTTGGATTGATATTAATCACATATATTAAATTGTGATCAAGTGATAACTTTGAAAAAATTATAATTTTATCAACTAATTTTTAAAAAATTGAATTCTTTCGATGAATTTTAATAAAATTTAAAAAAATAACATTTTTTGAAGAATTCAATTCGCTAGAAAAAAGTTGGTGTGATTTTTGTTGCGTGTTAAATTAACCAATGTTAAACGACATAGAATGTGGCGCCACCTATGACGGTTAAATTTGTTGCGTGTTATTTTAACACCAAATTCGGTGTTAAAATAACACTTTTTAATTAAAATTGTATAAAAAATAATTGAAATTCTGCGACGAGTTTTATTATATAGATTAAAATAATTGAATTAATGTGAAGAAATTTATAAAAAAATTTGTAAGTAATTGAAATTCTGTGAAATTTTTATTATTTATGAGAATAATTAAATGTTTGCGTAGAATTTTATTAACATTTTTTTAAGAAGTTAATTGAAATCTTTTGGAAAATTTTATTAAATTAGTAGATATTGGAAATTATTCAATAGAGGTAAATTTGTAAAAATAATTGAAATTTTGCCAAGATATTTTTCAAATTTTTGAAAATAATTGAATTTCTTAGAAAAATTTTGTTATTTATAAAGATAGTGGAATTTTTGAGGAGAATTTAAAAAAATTTATGAACATAATTGAATTTCTGCGAAGAATTTTATTACTTTTGAAAATAATTGAATTTCTGTAATTATTTGTAAATTGTAAACACAACTAATTTAAAAATCCAATTAATATAGTTTATGAGGCAAACAAAAAAACAACAAAATTCAGAATTTTCCTTGGAATATTCTCTTATATGTATTCTAAAAATTTAATTTTTTTCCAGTACTTTTAATAAAATTTCCTGACTTTTCTCTGATTTCCCTGATTTCTCAGACCTCTGACAACCTTGAACTACAAAACTATGTATAGTCAAATTTCATTAATTGAATTAGTTACAAAAAATTTCAGTTATTTTAACATAACGCTAAAAGTGAATTTAACTAATAATTAGTTATTATTATTAACTATTTTATTAGTAAACTATAAAATTTGTAATTTTTAACTAGGTAATTTAAATTTAAAGAATATCTCAAAATTTTGAGAGTAAAATACTTTAATTTTTAAAAGAAAATTGAAGAGGTATAATAATTTTGACTGATTTCTGATTTATTGAAGCTAGTATTTATTATTATTATTATTTTATTGGATTCATATGTATGACCTTTCGGCCTTTTACATTTCCCGTACATAAATATTATTGAAGCTAGTATTAAAAATATGAATATCTAATATATAATATAGTTATCTTCATTAAATTCTTACTTCTAATTTTTATACAATTTGTTAGTAGTAATAATAATCTACTAAATTTATCTTGCTTAATTCGTTATTTCTAATAGTAGCTCCAATAAGTAAAAGTTCAATAATTGAAGCTAGAATTGCTAGCTTCAATTTAAATAAAAATTTCCCCCCTTATTTTTAATATAAAATTTTTTGAATAAAAAATAAGTAAATTTTTCTTTTCAGGAAAAAATTAAAGCACGATGCGATGATTTGAAGTTTCATTAATTTACTACACTTGCAAAAATTTGTCAATTCATTCGACTGTAATTGTAATTTAAAAGAGGATCAACATGAATCTAAGAGCATTAATAAACAGCTTTTTTAAGCGAATTGTCAAAGATTTTCGACAAAAGGAATTGTTGCCATTGAAACTCGCTTTTTTTGTAAAAGCCTCAAGTTAGTTTCTTTAAATGTTTAATTATTAATGATTATTTTTATTATCTGATCGAAATGAATTTTTTTCTCAATGTATAAAAAAACACAAAAATATGTATTTTCTTCTTAACAAAAAAATTAATAGAATTACTGAATTTTCTTTTTAGCACTGTCAGTGCTTTATCCATATTTGACAATTCACATGCGAGAATTAGGAATAAATGTACAAGAGACAGCGTTAATGAGTGCAATCACACCACTTGCAGTAATTATTATGCCACCATTAGCAGGTTTAATAGCAGATCGAATAGGGAATTTTCGAGTGAGTTTATTTTTATTATCTGCTTCTTTTTTTTAATTGTCGAAAAATCTATAATTAATACTAATATTAAGTCCAAAAATAATTATAATTAATAATTATTTTTTATTATCTGAATAATTACCAAAATTAATTAAAAATTTGTATTTTCTTTCGCTTATTTAAATATCTTGTTAACTAGTTTGGTTGTAAAAGTAAAAACATAAAAAAGTAGATGAAATAGAAAATTAATTTTTTTAATTAAATTAAAACTAAAAAATAAAATAAATTTAATTCGTCAAATGTTAATAAAATTTTTGTTCAGATATCTTTAGCATTTTTAACATCCGTTGGTGGATTGGCAGCTCTATTACTGTTACTAGTCCCCGTGGGTAGAGTCAATATGGAATATCCCGAGAGGATAATTCTCGATTCAAAATGTCAGCGAAATAGTGATAAATTAATATTTGAAATTAATCGAAATCATCCTTGTAATGAGAAACTTGAATCGGAGATAAACATGAGGATAGAGAGTTGTGGGTAAGATTATTATTATTGAACAATAATAATTTGTGTATTAATAATAATTCGATTAAATTTGATAAAATTTACTAAACATACAATATTTATAATTAATAATTTAATTTTCATTTATTTTAGTTACATGTGTTCAGTACCTAATAATACCGACGTTCCACTGTTGTTAAAGGAAAAAAGTTACACAATTGAAGTAGCAGAATATGATTCAATTATGCTCTTCAATTATTCGATTCCCGAAAGAAAACCAACTCAGGTATTGAAAACTAATTATTTATGAAATTATTAATTAATTATTATTTAATTATGAATTGAACTCTTATTTTTAATTATTTTTGAAATTGTTAATTAATTATTAATAAAATTATTTATTATCTTTGTAGTTTTGTTGAAATTTTAAAATCTTAAAAATTGTTCAACTAAAATGTTGGAATTTTTTTTTAATTGTGTATAGGTAAACGATGATTTAGATGACGTTAGATCACACAGGATGTTAAAGAACGATGAATTTTTTAAGACGTCAATTCGTCAAATCACGAATTATACCCTTTTCTTCCCAGCGAACGATTTATACAGTTTTAAGTGCAAGCAAATTACTGAGGAGAATTCTTTAAGTCAAGCTGAAAGGAAATTTTTAAAATGCGGCTTTGGGCGTGTTTCTAATAAACAAGAGGTAACTTCATTATATAAAAACTATTTTAAATTAAATTTACAAAAAATCTAATTTCTATCATTATAATATAATTTATTTACGCATTGATTTACAAATTAATTATAATTAACATAAAAACAACAAAAAATAAAAAAAAATTTTTTAGATTTAAAATTTAAAAATTATTAAATAACTAATAAGTGAATAAATAAATATAGTACCTACACGGAAAAAAGATTCACCTGGAACAGCGATAAGTTTCTCTAGATTAGCGAAAGTCTCAACTGAAGCATCTAAAAATTTCGCTAATGTAATGAAATTTGTAACTGATCCAGGTAAAATTTTTTTCCGTGTTGTATCTAATAATAATAATATAATAAAAATATTATAACAGTATAATATAATATTATTATTATTATATTATAACAATGCAATGTAATAATTAAAACTAATAATAATAATAATAATGGTAATAAATTTATCAGGGCGCAAATAGTCAATTAATCAATTACAAGCCCTTCAGAACGAATCTCAAGACTTTTAATGAATCGTCAGACAGTCCAGTCATTAAAATGAAATATTTAGTGGAGAAATCAAATTGGACTGACAATAATATGATGAATGTTGAATGCAATAATGACGAAGGGGCAAATCAAAAAGTTTTCATTTCAGCCGGAAATTATAATATTATGAATTGTCATCAAAGATGTCTAATCACTGCTCCTAGATCGGAAATATGCTCTAATTTAAAGGAAGAAGTCGTCTATAATATACAATTAACATTCTGGTTGTATCTTTCCTTTCGACTGTTCAACGGTTAGTCAATCATTTTTCAATTATTACTTTTATTGTTTTTTCAGTATTATTATAATATTTCGAACTTATAAACTATAACAAAATCATATGAAATAAGACAATTAATATAATATTAATAAATCAGTAGTAATTAATTAATAGTAACTAATATTAATTAATTACACAGTGCAACACATAAAATGTGCACTAAGTTTTGACTTCAGTTTCTGAAAGTACTTATCGAAACTAGAAAAAACTTATTTCAGTTTTGCTAGATTAGCTCGGATTTAATTTTTATCGACATTTGAATTTTTTTTTTGAATTTTCACATTTTTCAGTTTTCTGATACGGGCTGATGGGAACACTGGCTATAAAAAGTTTATTAAAAAAATTCGCAATGGTCAAAATTTGAAAAGCAATAATCCCTCTTTAATTAGAGAGAAAGACAAAAAAATTTGGTCGAAAATTGTTCCAGTTACGAATTTTTTTTTTGGCTTTTTTACATTTTTTGGTTTTATGAAACGGGCGGGTGAGAAAGCTGGCTATTAAAAGATTATAAAAAAAATTCGCAGTGGTCACCATTTGAAGAGCAATAATTCCTCTTTAATTTCTGACATTGAAAAAAAATTTGGTCGAAAATTATTTGAGTTATGAATTTTTTTTTGTAATTTTTCAAATTTTTCGGTTTTTCTAATGCGAGAGGGTGGGAACGCTATCTATTAGAAGTTTATAAAAAAATTTGCAGTGGTCACCATTTGAAGAGCAGTAATTCCTCCCTAGTTTCTGCCATTGAAAAAAAAATTTGGTAAAAAATTGTTCGAGTTATGAATTTTTTTCGTACTTTTTCAAATTTTTTTTGTTTTTGATCTGGGCGGGTGAGAACGCTGGTTATTAAATTTTTCTTTTTTAAAAACGCAATGGTCACATTTCGCAGAGCAATAATTCCTCTTTAATTTCTGTCAAAGAAAAAAATTTGGTTAAAAATTGTTCTAATTATGGTTTTTTTTTTTACTTTTTCACATTTTTCGGTTTTTTGATACGGGCGGGTGGGAACGCTGGCTATTAGAAATGAATTAAAAAAATTCACAACGGTCAAATTTTAAAATGCAATAATCCTTCTTTAATTTCTGATAAAAGAAAGAAAATTGGTAGAAAATTATTCGTGTTATTTAATGATTTCTGTACATTTGTATACCCGCGGTCCTGTGCAACCGAGGGTTTTGATTTTTTTTTGACTTTTTTCGAAACCAAATATTTCGAATCAAATATTTTATCTTTGGCAGAAATTAAATAGAGATTATTTGCTCTTTAAATTGTTCCCATTACGAATTCTTTTTATAAATTTTTAATATTCAGTATTCCCACTTCCGTTATCAGAAAACAGAAAATTAAAAAAAAGTAAAAAATAATTCATAACTTAAACAATTTTTGACCAAATTTTTTTTCTTGGGCAGAAATTAAAGACACATTAATGCTCTTCAAATTGTGATCATTCGAAATTTTTTTTATAAATTTTTAATAGCCTGCGTTCCCACCCGCCTGATCAAAAAATTGAAAAATGTGAAAAAGTCAAAAAATAATTAATAAGTGGAACAATTTTTGACCAAATTTTGTTTCTTTGTCAGAAATTAAAAAGGAAGTATTGCTCTGCAAAATGTGACCATTGCGTTTTTAAAAAAGAAAAATTTAATAACCAGCGTTCTCACCCGCCCAAATCAAAAACAAAAAAAATTTGAAATTTGAAAAAGTACGAAAAAAATTCATAACTCGAACAATTTTAGACCAATTTTTTTTTTCAATGTCAGAAATTAGGTTGGAATTACTGATGTTCAAATGGTGACCATTGCGAATTTTTTTTATAAACTTCTAATAGATAGCGTTCCCACCCTCTCGCATTAGAAAAACCGAAAAATTTGAAAAATTACAAAAAAAAATTCATAACTCAAATAATTTTCGACCAAATTTTTTTTCAATGTCAGAAATTAAAGAGAAATTATTGCTCTTCAAATGGTGACCACTGCAAATTTTTTTTTATAATCTTTTAATAGCCAGCTTTCTCACCCGCCCGTTTCATAAAACCAAAAAATGTAAAAAAGCCAAAAAAAAATTCGTAACTGGAACAATTTTCGACCAAATTTTTTTTTCTTTCACTCTAATTAAAGAGGGATTATTGCTTTTCAAATTGTGACCATTGCGAATTTTTTTAATAAACTTTTAATAGCCAGTGTTCCCATCCGCCCGTATCAGAAAACTGAAAAATGTGAAAATTCAAAAAAAAATTCAAATGTCGATAAAATTCAAATCCGAGCTAATCTAGCAAAACTGAAATAGGTTTTTGCTAGTTTTGATAAGTACTTTTAGAAACTGAAGTCAAAACTTAGTGCACATTCAATGACCTCAAAAATGTTGCACTGTGTTACTATTATTTACTATTTATTAGTTAACTATTAAAGCTAATTACTATTAACTATACTTCTAAGTAATTAGTTAGAACTAATTAATTTCCGTTAGTTACTATACATTAGTTACTATTTAAATTAATTACTATTAGTTACTGCTAAGTAATTAATTAAAACTAATTAATTACTGTTGTTTATTATTAATTAGTAACTATTAAAATTAATTACTGGGTCAGAATTTCTCAAACGGATCACCTAAAACTAAAAAATTTTCTTTTTGAACCAAAATAGTTTTTTTTTGAGCTTAATATGGCTAAGAAGAATCCCTGAAAATATTAAGCCAAAAAAAAGTTTTTTGTAAAAGTTATTAACAATTGAATTTTTTAGTACTGCTAAATTAACAAATTTTTTTCTCGAGTTCCAGTTCACGGATTTTAAAATTAAAATATGGGTTTTTTTCGTCTTGAATTGCACTATTTGAATATATTTTTTGTTTTTAGATTTTTTTATTTTTTATAATTTTTTATATAATTTGTTTATAAAATGTTAATAAACAAATATGTTCTTCACGTCCTAACAAAAAAATTAAAATTGTATTCTATTCCTTAAATGTCTCCGAGTGCAAAACCGTTTCGAAAAAAAATGAGCCTTAATTAGAAAAAAAGTTATTAATTAAAAACTACAGCTGTGTAGAGCTTTACATGACGTTAAACTCGCCCCGCGCACATTGGCATTTTTTACAATTTACTGTTCAAAATTGTCTGCAATCTACAAATTTTATCGGATTTTCATGGGCTTGGTCTTAAATTAAAGGGGATAAAATTTCTAAGAGATCCCACTAAACCAATTTTTGAATTTTAAGTTGTTTATATTTTTCTTGTTACTCAAACTTAACAATTTACAATATTTTTAGAAAAAATCATGTTTATTTTTTTATTTTTTCATTGCAGATGATTGGAATCAATTCAAATTAGTCCAGCATATGACCACCAGACAAATAATAATAATTGTTGCAAACAATGTTAATTAACAAATAGATAACTTTGGATCTTTTTTATAAAAAAAATTTTTTTTGCAGACAAATTTATGTTTATTTAAGTAATCTATGTCGATTTTAGTAAAAAATGATTTTAAATTTAAAAATTATTATTGTTATTGACAATTATTATGAACTATAATCAAGTTTCTTTAACATTTGTAAACATTTTAGGCATTTTTTAAACATAAAATGTTTATATAATATGTACATTCCTTCAAAAACTTTAAAAATTTATTAGCACAAACAATTACATTTGCTGTAAACAAATTATTTACTTTTTAAACAAATAAATGGCTTATTTCTGCAAAAAGAAAAATTATTTTTCCTATTTTAACGAGTTTAAAGTCATGTAAAGCTCTACTTGATTATTGATAACTATATTATTGTTCATATGATTGTTAATAACAATGGTAATTATTAAATTAAAAATTATCTATTTGTTAATTAAAATTGTTTGCAACAATTTACACTACCGTCGGGAATATTATCGGTACGGCTGCACACGCACGGGCCAAAAACATATTAATCTTTAAATCACGATTTTTTTGTAAATACAAATGTCAGAAAATTAATAAATATACCATTCGAAAGATTGTTAAATTCTACGATTAATGATACATAACTGAAAAATTTAATAATTTATACAAAGATTGCAGCAATTGACAAATTTGACAAAAAAATTTAAAAATAAAATTTTTTTGGAAATTTTTTCAACCCCTGCACATTTTTTAAAAATTGTAAAACAAATTTGAAACTTACATAAGTGTGATCATTCAAGTCTCATCTTTAATTTAAGACCAAAAGAGTTCAAAAATCTTAATCGGTTAGCGAGATATCATTATAAACGGCCGAGCATTTTCAGCCAAAAATCGTTCAAAATCAACTAATTCAATGCATTTGTCAAAAAACATGCTTGGACGTTTATAATGTTAAAGAAACTTGATTATAGTTCATAATAATTGCCAATAACAATAATAATTTTTAAATTTAAAATAATTTTTTACTAAAATCGACATAGATTACTTAAATAAACATGTCTGCAAAAAATTTTTTTTTATAAAAAAGATCCAAAATTATCTATTTGTTAATTAACATTGTTTGCAAGAATTTAAATAAATTGTATTATACATTATTATTTGTCTGGTGGTCATATGCTGGACTAATTTGAATTGATTCCAATCATCTGCAATAAAAAAATAAAAAAATAAACATGATTTTTTCTAAAAATATTGTAAATTGTTAAGTTTGAGTAACAAAAAAAAATATAAACAATTTAAAATTCAAAAATTGGTTAAGTGGGATCTCTTAGAAATTAATTTTGTTTTTCTCTGATTTCCAGACAAAATTTTCACTTTTTCCCTGACCCTGAAGAACATCAATAACTTTTTTTTTGAATAAATATTTCATCATTATTATTTTTCTATAGAAATTAGGATTCTCAAATCCAATAACTTATGACAATATTATTATAAAACATGCTGAAATCGAGCACTCCGAGTCTTCGACTCGGAGTGATCGATTTTCTCGTATTTTATAATAAATTTAAGACGCCAGAGTGATAAAATCATTATTTCTTATTATAAGAATATTGTAACTATAAATTCAAATTTTTAAAGATTTTAATTTTAACCCCTTTCCAAAATTCAATTATATCTAAAAATTCACGCTATAATGCTTTTAATATTCAATTCCAATTTAAAACTTTAAGTGAAATTCATTTTTTAATCAATTTTTATTAAAAAATTTCCCGAGAATTCAATTATTTAAATCCAAAAATAAATATTTTATTCAATAATTGCATGTTTCTTAAAATTTAATTTTTATGAAGAATTTTATCAAAATTTTTAATAACAATTGAATTCTTTCGACAAATTTAAAAAAAAGATTGTAAAAATAAATGCAATTTTCGATCATTTTAGTTAAAATTGTATAAAAAATAATTGAAATTCTGCGATAAGTTTTGTTATATTTATGAAAATAATTGAATTCTTGCAACGAATTTTATTAAAATTAATTATTATCTTCAAAAAGAAAATTAGAATTCAGGATTACACTGGATAATAAATATACATCATTATTTATTAAAATTGTTTTTAAAGAATTGAATTCCCGTGAAGAAATTTGTTTTCGAAAATAATTCAATTCCGAAGAAAAATATTATTATTTATGAAAATAATTAATTTCTTGTGAAGAATTTTATTCAAATTTTTTTAAATAGTTGAATTTTTCAGAATTAAAAAAAAAAAATTTTTTTTAATAATTTTAATTAAATTTCATTAAAAAAACTGAAAATAATTAAAATCTGACAAAGAATTAAAATAAAATTTTTTTTTTAAATAATTAAATTTCTGTGAAAATGTTTATTGTTGAAAAATATGTTATTAAAATTTCTTAAATAATTAAATTGCTTCGAAGAATTTTTATTTTTTACGAAAATAATTGAATTGTTTCGAACATTTTTGTCAATAATTGTATTCCTAGGATGAATGCTGTATTTTATAAAAATAATTGTAGTCTATGATTTCCATTTTTTTTATTAAAAATTTTTTAAATAATTGAATTTCCATAAAAAAATGTATTATCTGTGCAAATAATTGAATACTTAAGAAAAATTGTATTGGAAATAATTGAATTGTATAGGAAAATTTTATTAAAATTGCAATTTTATTAACTAAGTCTTGTAAAGAATGTTGTCAAAATTTTTTAAAATAATAGAACTTTTAAAATAATTTTATTAAAATTTTTCGAAATAATTGAATTTTTTGAACTATTTTTTTCAATTCTCTCTATAAAAAAATTAAAAATAATTTATGGGAAGAAGTTCATCACTTTTGAAAATAATTGAATTTCTGTAATAAGTTGTTCTTAAAATTTCTATTTAAATTCAAACAAAAAAGACACAAAAATTCAGAATTTTCTTATAAATTCTAAAAATTTAATTTTTTCCAGTACTTTTAATAAAAATCCCTGACTTTTCCCTGAATTCCCTGACTTTCCTGACTTGTGGCAACCCTGTAATTATTTAAATTTTGTATGGAAACTTAAATTAATTGCATTATTAACAAATTAAATTTATTTAAAAAATTAGTAAATAAATTTAATAAATATTTATTTAAAGAAATAAATAATTCCGTTCAAGTCTATAAAAAATAATTTAATTCAAAGAAATTTGATATTTCTTGAATAATAAAATAATACACTGAAAAAAAATTTATTTGATTCAACTAACCAATTACTTGTCTATATTAGGTACGAAATAAGTATTTACTTGAATCAAATAATTTTTACATTAAATCAAATAAATTTTTCTTTTCAGTGTAGAAACGAAATGAATATATTGATTGAAGTGAAATTAATTTAAATTTAATAGCAATGATCGGTGGCACTGCATGGGCAATGTTCGAAGGTGCTGTGATTGCAACTTTGAGAGAACATAAGGCTGATTATGGCTTACAGAGATTTTACGGCAGCTTAGGGGGAATGATATCGTCCCCCCTATCAGGTCTCATGATTGACTCATTTAGTAAAGGAAAAGCTTTCACTGATTTCAGGTAAACTATTTAAAAATTTAATTTAATTAATTTAAATATAATTAATGAATTTAAGTGAATTAATTAAGATTTCAATTTAATGCAATAATTATATAAACTAACTTCGAAACTTAATTTAATTAATTATATATGGCGGAAAAACAATTTTACCTGAAACAGCTACAAATTTCACTAGATTATAAATTTACATATTGTTATTCATAAATTTAAATTAATTTTATTGATTAAACATTTATTCTCAATATTTGATTTAAATTAATATTCTCAAATTTGATTATATTAAAAAAAAATTGTAATTTCTAACACGAATAATTGTTAAAAGTCAATGCAATTTAGGCCAGCGTTCTATCTATACGCTGCTCTAAAAGTCGCTTCAGGTGTCCTCATGTTGTTTATTAATTTGGAATTCAAATCGCCAGCGAAAAGTATATTTAAGGATGTCTACAATGTGCTCAAGAATGTGGAAATCGTTACACTTTACATGGTTTCCTTCATGTTAGGCAAGTCTCTTATTTTGTTGTTTTAATTTACTTTACATTTTACAATTAAAAAAAAAATTATTTTTGTAAAATATTTTTTAAATGAAATACATAAATTTTCATTTTCATTTAATTGCAAAGAATTTTTTTACTCTCAAAGCAAAATTAAATTTATCTGATCAATTATAATTTGTAATTATATTTTTAAAACAAAAATTTAATTTTCGAAAAATTCTATTAATGAAGTAACGACCAATGACTCTATAATTAAATAATTTGAAAATATACCTAGTTTGAAAAAGAATATTTATCTTGAAAATGAATAATTATTATATTGACAAAATCTAATTAGAATTATTATTTTTTCTCTTTTCTAAAGTATAAAAAAAACTTAATACTATCTTTTGTGTGTATAACGTCATAGTTTTTGAGTGTTTTCAATTAGATTGTGAAAATTTACGTAATTTTAAAGGCAGGCAATACTTCCGGACTATTTGTATTTGCAACACTCTTTGGGTTTTAACAAAATCAATAAATTGCAACATTGACATTCAACTTCAATTCTTATCATATAAAACATCTCGTGTTTTACATTGTGTTATTTTTCTAGTTTATATTTAAATATACCATTTCAAAGAATACACTAAACAATTTTCTGCTCGTTAAAAATGTTAAAATCTTCAATTATACGTTTTTATGAGTTCACACTTTTTTTCTTACTTCTAAAAACAATTGTCCGTTAAATATTAAAATAAAAAAAAAAAACAATTTAAGAAAAACGCAAATAAATAATTAGAGTCAGAAATATTTTTGATAAATTAGAATGAAACTTATTTATTTATTTATATAATCTTTTTTTATTAAAATTAAAATTAAATTTTAATTAAAATTTAATTAAATAATAATTAATTAAATTTAATTAATTAATTTAATTTAATTTAATTTAATTTAATTTAATTTAATTTAATTTAATTTAATTTAATTTAATTTAATTTAATTTAATTTAATTTAATTTAATTTAATTTAATTTAATTTAATTTAATTTAATTTAATTTAATTTAATTTAATTTTAATTTTAATTTTAATTTTTTAATTTTTTTTTCTTTGTTTGACAATTTACATACGCATTTATCTTTTTATTTATTATTGATTTGTTTATTTATTTTAATTATTTATTTTTTTATTTGTTTATCTACTTTATTTATTTATTTGTTTGCCTACTTATATATGTCTATTTATTTATTTTCTACACATTTATTTACTAACTTATATTATATTTTCATTTTTTCTATTTATTCATTGATTTATATAAATAATCACAAAGTGTAACTAAATATTCTCGAAAATAATAAAAATAATTTTAAGAATTATTAATAAAATTTATAAATAATTTTAGGTACTGCTTGGGGATACATCGAATCATTTCTGTTCTGGTTTCTGCAGGATTTGGGTGCTTCCCAATCACTTATGGGAATCACCATAACAGTTAGTGGTCTTGCTGGTTTGCCCTTATTGGTTTTATCGGGACCAATAATTGACAAACTTGGCCACGCAAATGTTCTCTTCATTGGATTCATTTTTTACGCTATCAGACTCGTCGGTAAGATTATGTAACAATCAAGATTATGTGGCATAATGATAAATTAATAATTAATTATCAGTTAATATTGAAATAATAAATAAATTTAAAAAAACTAAAGGTTTTTTAAATTTATTTATTATTTCCATTTATGCAACAGCTATTTCAAATCTAATTAATTATTTTTTAAGTTTCAATTTGATTTTAATAAAAAATGAAATAAATAATACAATACAAAATTTCCATAGGGTGATAATCTTCTAACGGACTATAATATATTTTAAATTTAATTAAAATATAATCATCTCTAGAGTTGTAATATAAATTTAATAATATGAATTTTCATACAGTTATGTAAATTAGACAAGTATATAAAATTTAATTTACTCTGATTACAGGCTATTCACTGATTTACAACCCATGGCTGTGTCTGATTTTTGAAGCACTTGAATCTGTAACATCTGGACTTGCTTTTACAGCAGCTGTAACTTACGCCGCAAAATTATCAACGACAGCCACTGATAGCACTGTACAAGGTTTATTGGGTGGAATTTACTACGGAGTTGGTAATTAAAGAAAACTATATTATTTAAAAAAAAAAAAAAAAATTATCACATTGCTAATTTAATGAAAGTATATATTGCAAATCGTTAAAAGTGTCGTTATTGCTTCGTTTCAAAAAATCGTTTAAAAAAAGCAAAAAAAAAACAACAACAAAAAATAAGAAAACAAAAACACAAAACAGAGAAAAATAGAATCATAAAATACAGAATAAAAAACAAATTAAAAAGAAAAACAAAAAAAAATTTTAATTTAGTTTGATGTTTTTTAATTAATATTAATATAATTTTGTTTAGGGAACTCTTACTATTTTTCTAAATTATTTCATTTAATAATAAGTAAATTAATAAAAATTAGTTATTAATAACAACGAAATTTATTTATTAATTCCTCCTGAATTTTGGCAATAACAGGATTAAAAAAATATCAAATTATTGAAAATCTTATATAGTCTATGAATTTTTTTTTCTCAAATTAAAAAAAATCCATAAGTAGAGTTACAGTTGCAATTTTTAGAAAAAATCAATTATTTTTATCTTTTATTTTTGTATTTGAATAATTGAATTCTCGTATAACTTTTTGGTAAGAATTGATTTGAAAAAGAATTTCAGTTCAAATTTTAGAAAATATTTCAAGAATTGGAAGACTTGCAGTTTCCATTTTTGGAATTAATTGGATTTCAAAAGGTTTTACAGTGAAAGTATTTTGAAATTTTTATTCCTGATGGACAAATAAATAACAATAAGTATTCAAATTTACTTATTAAACAAAAATTTAAAGAAATAATTAAATTTTAAAAGGTTTTTCAATTGAAATTTTTTTAACATTTTAATCGCTGTAATGGTATAATAATATTGAAATGTTTACAACAATATAATGTTTACAACAATAAATTTTTTAATATATGTTTAACAAAAATTAATGAAATTTGAAAGATTTTATTTAGAAATTCTGAAAAAATGTGGTTTTAAAAAATCGCATTTAAAATTTTTTGAAAATAGGTTTCCGAAGATAATTTTAAATAATTGATAAATCAAGAAATTTTCTCAACTTCTATTAAAAAAAATTTTATACTTAAAAGAATTCCATTTTCTCACTTTAAAAAATTATTTTTAAATATTATTGCATTTTTTCAAGAATTGTAACTACTTTGGAAAATAATTGAATTTTACCAAAATATTTGCGTATTTAAATAATATTCAATTATCGTTGAATTCTAATAAGCATTGGTTTAAAAAAGAATTTCAGTTAAAATTTTGAAAAATAATTGAATATTAGAAGCGTTATAACAGGAATTTTAAAAAATAAATAAAATTTAAAAGATTTTAAAATTGAAATCTTTTTAACACTTTAATTGCCGTAAAAGTATAATAATATTTAAATGTTTATTCAAAATAAAATATTAATATATTATTTTCCTTTGAAAATTATTAAACTTTTGAGTAATTTTATTCAAAAATTCTAAAAAAATAATTGACTTTTGGAAAAATTGCAGTAAATTTAACGATATGATTTGGAGAATTTTTGAGAAGTTACGAATGATAGCAAAAATTTAATTATTTTTAAAAGTAATAAAATTCTTTGCAGAAATTCAATTATGTTTAAAAAGTTTTTAAAATTCTCGTCAAAAATTCAATTATCTTTATAAATAACAAAATTCTTCTCCAAAATTCAATTATTTTCAAAAAATTTGATAAAATTCTCGGCAAAATTTCAATTATTTTCAACAATTTTCCTCACTTTCAATGATTTTCAATATCTATTTATTCTATTTTAATAAAATTTTCGAAAAGAATTTAATTATTTATAAATTTGTTGATAAAATTCTTTATGAGAATTCAATTATAAGAGACATTCAATTATTTAATAAGTTATTAATTTTCGTTTTTAAATAATTGAATTCTCGTAGAATTTTCATAAAAATTGTTTTAAAAATGAATTTCAGTTAAAATTTTATAGTTTATATAATTTAATATTAAAAGCTTTATAGCATGAATTTTTGAAAATAATTGAATTCTGAAAAAGTTTGAAATTAAAATCTTTGAAAATTAAAAGTTTTTATACTTTTAACTATTAATTAGTTAATAATCTAAAAAATTGAAGAAGAACAAAATTAATAATAAAATTTTGAAGAAAGCTTTTTTATAATTAAACATTTCTTTTATATAAATGTTTATTAATGAAAAAATAAATAATTATTCAAAGAAATAAGGAAAAAATATAAAAAATGCTGTATTAAGCCGAAAATAAAATTATATTAAAAAAAAAGAAAAATCACCAGAAAAGAAACTGTGAGACACTCAAACAACAGAAAAAACTGCTTTGACTAGACTGTATCAGCGCGTATACGTTAAGAAACAAAGTCAGAAGAGGGGACGTTAAGTACCCTAGCTGATTCTTTTTATCAATCTACTGATGCATTTTTAGGCTGTTGCCATGGTAACAATTGCTATGGAAACAGTTGCCACAAAAACAGACACTCACAGTTTTATTAAGGATATCAAATTGAGACAGAAAACATTTAAAAAATGCAAAAAGTTGCGATGCAACAGTTTTGATATGTTTTCTGTCTCAATTTGATATCCTTAGAAAAACTCTGCTAATAAATCCGTAACCAACGTAACTATCACTATAGATAATGATTTCTATGGTAAAAATGCCAATTAAAATTATCATCATAATAACCGTTAGTGAAAAATTTCCTCCCCTTTCTTCCAAAACCAAAAAATACCAAATAACAACTAATGAAATACTAAATAATTTCAGGAAAAAGTTGCGGAGGCCTAGTGGGTGGATTCCTGATGAAAGGAGTGGGTACACGTCCCACTTATCAGATATTTGCAGTAGCTTCCCTATTGACAGGATTAATGTACTACGTGTTCAACGTCACTTATTTGAAAAAGCGTCCTCAAGTTGAGGGCAATGACATTGTGAAGAAAGAACCCAAGAAGAAGAAAACGACGACGTCGACAACTACTGGTCAAAATGATCTCGAGAATGGATCAGTGGAAATAGTTTCAAAAGAAGAGAAGAAAACGAAAACGAAACAAAATCAAAAGATAGCAACAGCAGCAGCAGCAGCAACGGACAAAGAAAAGATTGCCCAGGGCTACAACAACAAGGCATATTCTGAAGATCCAATGAAAATTGAAAGCGCAAATCCAACGTCCAAGGACATTGAGGCCCTCAACAACGTCAAGAATCTCGATAAGATTGAAAAGATTACCGAGAGTCAAGTTGATCACGCTGAAACTGAGAAAACTCACGAGAAAAAGGAACAAAAAAATGACAACAATGCAATTTTCAATAATTCTACCTCCGATGATAAAAGTCAATCACGCAAGCATAGCGTCACTATTGAAAAGGTACCAAAGGATAAATAATTAATCTTTTTACTATTGAGAACGTGATTCTAAATTAGTACATATTCAACTGAATAATATCGACACAGTTTTTCTAAGGATATCAAATTGAGACAAAAAACGAATCAAAACAACAATTTTTGATACACTTCTTGTCTCAATTTGATAGCCTTAGACGTTTTTGATAAAACATTATCAATTACTAACAATATTAATTTTAACAATTAAAGAGATTGAAAAAAAACATTTTCTCATAATTATTTTCATATACATATGCGTTTACAAAGATTTGTAAATTTCTTGAGATATTAATTTTCCAACAGTAATTAATTCAAGTAAATATTTATTTGATGAAAGACAAATTTGCTAATAGGTAAATTTTTGGATATTGAAATTAAATTTCTTTTCAATGTAATAATTTTTCTTTTATGTTTTGAATTTTCATAATTTCAAATAATTGAAATCAATCTTACCGCGATTAAAATGAATCTGATAGAAACATTTCTAAAATGCAATTATTGTCGCTTCATTTTAGGACTCGAAATATTAACGATAGTCTTGATTAATGATAGCTTCAAAAAAGTTAGTATATAGTTCAAATAATTTGAAGATAAAATTAATTGAAATTTGTCAAAATCAATTAAAAGTAACAAAAATTAATTATTCCAAAAAAAGCTTCTGTTTATTGAAACTACAAAAATAATTATCTTTGTAGTTAAACGACAGATAAAATAATTTTAAGCTAATATTAATATTGCAGGCCTCGGACTGGATTAAAAAATAAAAAATAGTATCCAAAATGTTAAAAAATGTTCGTAAAAATAAATATAAATTGATGGTTTAATTTCTCCACTTGAGAACGCCAAAGTCGCCATCAGGTGGCGAGGAATCTGGTTTTGTCGACTGAACTGTCATCTAACGGTGACCTTGACGTTCGCAATATTGAATCTCAAGATTTGATTTTCAATTAATATAAATTAAATTAATTAATATAAGTGGATTTCTCTTCTTAATTCACTGTAATTTGCATTATTTTTATCGCCTCTAATTTTTGTAGAGTCTTAGAATTAATTTCTTTACTAAATAAATTGATTTTAAAAATTTCAGTTAAAAGAATAGTACCATATTCGTGAATTTTTTAACAAAATAAGTATCTTTAGTAACTTATTTACAAAAATAGTAGCTAAATAGTTGTATTTGATGAAAATTATCAAAAAATATCAATAGACGCATAAATCCGAGGCCTTTAATTGAAATTAAATATAATTTGAAGATCAATTCAAAATTATTAATAATTTTAACAAAAATTGAAGCTACTAAATGACAAAAATTCTAACGAACATATATTTTTTCCAAACTATACTTTATACATAAATATAGTTTTATTGGATTGTAACACTATGGTTTATATTTTCAATTAGTATTTGTTTTAATTAACCTATTTTATTCACTTAAACCATTATCAACCACTAATTTTTTATTATCTGTAACAGTATTTTTTTTACCAAATACTTTTCGTTAAATAATTTTTTTTTAACTGAAAATAAAATTAATCTCAAGGAATAATATTGTAAAATAAATTAATGACGAATGATTCTTGGATTTTTTGAATGAATCTGTAGTCAATAAATATTGTAAAATAATAAAATGACTGTACAATCATTTTCATCGTAATTGAGAATAATTATTAATTAATTATTAACATAATAAATAAATAAATGATTAAGAAAAAATGAGAACTACATTAAATAATTTGTTACAATATAATATTCATGAATAGTATGATTATTATATCAAAATATAAATTAATACATAATACAATTTTAAAAACTTTCATGCAGTCATTTTATTGTTAATAACTCTGTTACTGATAAATGGTCTGTGTTAATTATTTAAATATAAATGTCATTACAATAGGAATGTACAATAGAATTGTATGTTTAATTTAAAAAAATTATTTAATCCCAGCTGAAAAAGTTCTATAGAATTTCACTAGAATCATTCTATAGAATCATTCTATAAGAATTCTAGTGAATATTCTATAGAATTTCACTAGAACGATTCTATAGAATTTCTACATGAATTCTACTAAATTTAAGTGATTTTTAATAAGAAAGAATACAAAATTTCGTAGTCTGTAATTTGATTAAAAAAGGACAAAAAGTTCGTAAATTGTACGATATAATTTGGAGAATTTAAGAGAAAATTACAAATGATTGAAAAATTCAATTATTTTCAAAAGTAATAAAATTCTTCGCAGAAATTCAATTATGTTGAAAAAATTTTAAAAATTCTCTTCAAAATTTCAGTTATCTTTATAAATAATAAAATTCTTCTCCGAAATTCAATTATTTTCAAAAACTTTAATAAAAGTCTTGGCAAAATTTCTATTATATTCAAAAATTTTTCTCAATTAAATGATTTTCAATATATATAGATATTATTTAAATAAAATTTTCCAAAAATTCAAATATTTAAAAATTTTTTTAATAAAATTCTACCCCTACATTCAATTATTTTTATAAAATAATAAATTTTACAAAAAATCAATTATTTACAAATTTTTTACAAATTTCTTCGCAATATAATTCAGATATTTTTCTACATAATAAAATTTTTACAGGGATTCAATTATTTTTCTAAATAATAAAATTCTTTTTAGGAATTTAATTATTTTCACAAATAGTAAAACTCATCGCTGAATTTCAATTATTTTTAATAAAATTTAAATCGAATTCCTCGATAAATGTAATTATTATTCAAAATTTCATTAAAATTCGTTAAAAGAATTCATTTATTTAAAAATTTGTTTTGACAAATTTTTTTATGAGAATTGAATTTTAAGAAACATTCAAATATTCAATAAATTATTTTTTTGTAGGTATTTAAATAATTGAATTCTAGTATGATTTTCTAATAAAAATTGATCTAATAATGAATTTTAGTTAAAAACAAATAAATTTTAAAACTTTTAAAAAACTATTTCAAGAATTAATAAAAATAATGGATTTATAGAAAAACTTTAATTAACACTAACAAAATTTAATTTTGTTCAAAAATAGTAAAATTCTTCTTAGGAATTCAATTATTTAAAAAGACGTTGATAAAATTCTTTATGAGAATTGAATTTCAAGAAAGATTTAAATATTCAATGAATTATTTTTTTATATTTAAATAATTAAATTCTAATAGAGATTTCTAATAAAAATTAATTTGAAATTGAATTGAAGAATTTATGAATAATTTAAATTTGTAAAATTGAATATTGTAAATAAATGAATTTTAAAAATTGACGAAGTATCTTTTGGAAAATTAATTGATTTAAAGAAAAATTTTAGTGAAAAATTCTTAAAAGTAATAATTGAATTGAAATGATAAAAATAATTTTGAAGAAGTACAATATTCTTATAAAATAAAATAATGATTTTATCAATTTTCCATTTTTAATTATTATAAAACATGAAGAAATCGATTACTCCGAGTCGAAGACTCGGCGTGATTGATTTCTTCATGTTTTACAGTTATGAAAAAATTTAATTTATACTTTTAAGTAAAATGTTCACTTATTTGACTCGAATTTTTTCCTAAAATCTTTTCCCTGAAATTTTTCATATAAATTAAATGTAAAATTTAATTACACAATAATATAAAGTTAAAAAATATTATTTCACGAATTTAAATTCTTTCTAATTAAAAATCACGAAAATTTAGTAGAATTCATGTAGAAATTCTATAGAATCATTCTAGTGAAATTCTGTAGAATATTCACTAGAATTCATATAGAATGATTCTAGTGAAATTCTATAGAACATTTTGAGCTGGGATTATAAGTTAAATATTTATAATTTTACTCTCTAAATCTGAATCCGTGAAATTTGGCTGAATTATCAGTAATTTTTCACTGATTGGCCAAATAAAAAATTACTGGAAATTTCTGTCACGCATATTGAAAATTTCAGTTATTTAATAATTGGAATTAGTGAAAAATGACAGATATTTGAATAATTTTTAACTAATCTTCAGTGAAATTTCACTGATTTAAATCACGACAATGGAATCACTAAAAATCAGTCAAATTTCACTGATTCAGTTTTAAAGAGTATGAAACTTTAATTAAGTATTTGAAAATTTTTCCATTAATTTAAAAATATGTTGTTATTTTAATTTTTTATATAGATAAAGTAAATTGAAGAAAACGTGTGAATGACAAGTAGTGATATTATTCTAGTTTTATTAGAAAAAAAAATCAATTGCTCGTGACATGATTGCTGTGAAATTTTACCTATATAGTTAATAAAAATTAAATATATTATAGATAATAAAAATTAAACGTCAACATTTCAGGGACGATATATAAAAGTGAGATTTATATTTTTTAAAAAAGATTTAAAGATTTTATTTGAAAAGAATTCTTTATTTATTAATTTTAAGTATTAATTAATGTTTAACTATAATTTTAGGATATATTAAATTATTATATATACTTTTTATTGTTATCTAAGAAATATTATTGTGTAGCGTATTAAAAAAAAGTAATTGTAAATTATGTATAGTGTATAATTATTACCAGAAAAATAAAGTATTATATATTTCAACCAAGAGTTGTATATTTCTCTATTATACATTTTCTCTAATTTTATTGTTCACTTTTTTTTTTATTTAAATCTTTTTTCTTTAATTTTTAAATATTTTTGCGACTTATTTCTTGTTCTATTTTCTTCCTTTTAAAAACTTTTCCCTTACATTTCGTTTTTATCATAACAATAATAATTATTATCAACGGTGATTATTATTCTAAAAAATTATTACTATAATCAAAAAATTCAGTGTGACCTAAAAATAATTCAATTATTTTATTTTTCCAGTTTCTTTTCTATTTTAAAGGTCTTTTGTTAAGTTTTTATTAGTTGATAATTAACTTTAATTATAAATATCATAATTATATTATTACCGACATTATTTTTGTATTTTTGTTTATATTTATTTTATTTATTTACTCTCTCCCTCTTTGAAAGAAATATGAACCAAATAAAATATGTTTTAATTTTTATTTATATTTTTATTGTATATAATAATAATAATAATAGTTATATATAAGGCAAATAAGAAAAAACGAAATAATAAAAAGACCTCATTTTTTAAATTAAATTTATAAATCGATAAGTAATAATTACTTAAATTTTGTAAATCATTAGTCTTACTCAATAAAAATCAATTTAAATTTAATCTTCATTCTGATAGTAACAATTGTTAATCTGAATTTCAAAAACTGTATTAAGTATTTCAAAAAATGTATGTTTTATTTCGTTAATTAGTTGGATTGTTTCATAGACAATTAACTAATAAGCCGCATTAACTTTAATGATGCTATTTGAATAATTAGTGATGAATTTCGTTAGTTTTAAATAAAGAAGATTGTAATTTAATAGGATGGGAAAGTGGGGTAAAAGGAAGAATACTTTTTTACGACAAGCACATCAATTTTTGTCAAAGTTCACATATGTCTTTTTAACAAAGCTCATAATATTATCGAAAAAATTAACGAAAGAAATTTTTTTCCATTTTATTAGTAACTTTTAAAATTTTTAACTGCAACAAATACAATTTTTTGTCAAAAGTAAAACAGTTACAAAAACTTGTTCTCGTGTCACATCAATTTTTGTAAGTGTTATAATTATTCCAGTACCTATTTATTAGTGAGTATAATTTTCAATAAATATTGATTATTAAATTGTTAAGAATAAATCAAGAAGTGGTACATTTTGTTAATTTATTTATAAAATTAAGAATAAATATTGTCATAAATATATGATTATATATTATCTTGATTAAATTGCTATTTCTAAATTAAAAAATTTTTTAGTAGTAATAATAATTTAATAAATTTATCTTCATTAGTTTGTTATTTCTAATGCTAGCTTAAATAGGTAGAACTTAAATAATCTTCGCCAGCATTATTCAATTTAAATTTTAAAATAAACTTTTTTTTTAATATATTGATTATTGTTTTTAATTACTATTACTCATTATTACTGCTAATTATTAGTTACTTTACTTTTACTATAATTAAAAAAAGCTACTACCACCAGAAAAAATTTAATATTGTCTGAAGCTTCATTTATTGGTGTTAATTTAAATCTTGTTGATAGCTTCGATTTTTCGGTAAATTATAATCAATAAAAAATTAAATAAAATCCAGTAATATTTAATAACATTAACTTAATGAATTTGTAATTATAAAAGTATTTGATAATAAAGTTACATTTTTTATAATTCGTATAAAATTTTTGTAATTAAAAGTTGGTAAATTTTTCTTCCAGGAAAACCTTCGAGAAGGATGAGATGATTTGAAGTTTTATTAATTTAAATTCTTGTGACAAATTTATCAATATATTCAAATTTTTTTGTAATTTTAAAAAGGATCAACATGAATCTAAGAACATTAAAAAATAGCTTCTTTAGGCGAATTATCCAAGATTTTCGACAAAGGGAATTGATGCCATTGAAAATTGCTTTTTTCTTAAAAGCTGCAAGTTAGTTTTTCTTAAATGTTTCTTCAACAAGCATTTAATTACACTGTAAAAAAGGGAGTTAAATTTTAACTCCTCAGGGGATTCTATAAAAGTCGCACCCATTTGAGAGTTAAAACAAAGGGAGTTGAAATTTACACAGTTAAAATTTAAAAAGTAAAAAAATTTAACAAGTTATTAAATTAACTCTCTTTTGGAGTTGATTTTTAACTCGAAAAATTTAACTCCCAACTCCTGTGACCGTCAACTCCCTAAATTTTTTATAGCTTATAATTTTTAACTTTAAACGTTTAAAAAAAATTATTTTATTTATGGGCATTTGAACCATTATAACGTCACAGTTTGTGCAAAGCATGCTTTGCTCAAACTGTGACGTCATAATGTTACAAATGCCCTTTAATAAAAATTTGTTTTCAGTAAATATATATAGTAAATACTTGATAATAATTAAATAATTTATTATTAAAAAGAAATATTAATAACTACTGAACTTTTTTCTAGCACTGTCAGTACTTTATCCATATTTGACAATTCATATGCGAGAATTAGGAATAAATGTACAAGAGACAGCGTTAATAAGTGCAATAACACCACTGGTAATAATTATAATGCCTCCATTAGCAGGTTTAATAGCAGATCGAATAGGGAATTTTCGAGTGAGTTCACTTTTATAATCTGATTATTTTCTTAATTGCTCCAAAAATATGTAATTAAATAAAATTTATTAAAATTGTAATAAATAGATAATAAACAATCTTCTGAGAAAGGTACACGTGAAGAGAATATGCGATGTAAAATACTTTGATTCTTAAAAAGAATAAATTAAAAGAGAAAATTACCAAATGCAAATTAGATATTTTTTTGTTCAGGTGTCTTTATCATTTCTAACAGTGCTTGGAGGATTGGTAGCACTATTACTGCTATTGGTCCCCGTGGGTAGAGTCACTATAGAATATCCCGAAAGAATAATTCTCGATGCAAAATGTCAGCAAGATTATGGCAAATTAATGTTTCAAATTAATGAAAATTATCCTTGTGATGAAAAACTAAAATCTGAGATAAACGTAAAGATTGAGAGTTGTGGGTAAGAATATGATAGTTATTATTAAATAATAATTTACATTAATGATAATTCGATTAAATTTAGTAAATATCATTTAGCACCTATACAATATTTATAACTTGTTATTTATTTCAGTTATATGTGTTCAGCACCTAATAATACCGACGTTTCACTGCAGTTGTTAAAGGCAAAAAAATTCACAATAATAGAATTAGTAGAAGATGATTCAGATGACATTAGATCACACAGGATTTTAAAGAATGATGAATTTTCTGAGAATATTCGTCAAATCACGAATTATACTTTTTACTTCGTAGAGAACGATATGCAAAGTTTTAGCTGCAAGAAAATTACCGAGGAGAATTCTGAAGGGAAATTTTTGCAATGCGGAATTGGGAGTGTTCCTAACGAAGAAAAGGTATTATATAAAAACTATTCCAATTAAATTTGGGAAAAATTTCATTTATATAATTTATTATAATTAATTTACATCAATTCCCAAATTAATTACAATTAACACAAAAAACAAAATCAAAAATGAATAAGTAAACAAAAAAGAATTTTATTTAAGAAATTTAAAAAAAAATTATTTGATACAATTAATTCAAATTATTTGAAAAATATTTACTTGGTTTAACTAATTTTTATTTGAACCAAATAAAATTTTTTTTGAGTAACATAATATAATACAAATAATTATAGGGGAGAGTGGGGCAAACCGGACCCCCTAACGGTTTTTTGACTCTTGTGACTAAACGAATCAACCGATTTCATTTTTCGATGGCTTGTTTGAAAGATCATTTAATTGCGCAACTTTTCCCCAGAGACACCTATACTTTATCTTTTATTGTTTAGTTGCTGTGTTAACTTTACAAATTTTTGCAAACGGACCGGTTTGCCCCACCCCCTGGGGTAAACCGGACCCCCCAGGGGCAAACCGGACCGTTTGGTTTTTTATTTATAATATTGCATTTACATAATCTACAATAATAAAAAACATAAAGAATCATGTAAACAATGGTAGTAATGAAAATAATAATACGGGATTGAATTTCAATTAAATAAATATTTTTTTTAATAAAAAAATAAAAATGTTTGTCATTATCAGATAAACAATATTAAAGGGTCCAATTCTCATTGGAAGACAATTATTTTTCATTGTAAGTAAATATTTTAATGAAAGAAACATTTTATATAAAAATAATTTTCATGAAACTTTAATTCAATGGAAATATCCTATGGCCGGTTTGCCCCACCGAAAACGGTTCGGTTTTCCCCACAGGCCCATTTTGAGAATAAATGTTTGTCAAAAAGAAACGCTTTGCAAATTCATCAAAGTTTTTGGTGGTAAATATTCCTAAGGTGTGTACCTTCAAAACCTAAGACCTAATATTTGGAAACATTACACGATTTCCTCAGAATTTCCTTAAGAAAAAATTCGTAAAAGTGTAGAAAAAAACTAAAAAAAAACTTTTGCTCCCTTCGTCGCACAAACGCAAGCTAAAACTGTCAGATTGAAAAAATAAGGTATAGTAAACATGGTTGTTTTAAATTTGTAAACAACACTTTTTCCAATTTCGCCATTTCGGGAATATTGAGGGGGGTCCGGTTTACCCACCGGTCCGGTTTGCCCCACTCTCCCCTAATAATAGGAATAATAATAATATAATAATGATAATAAAAAATTTATCAGGACGAAGATAGTTCAAATGTCAGCTACAAGCCCTTCAAAGCAAATCTTCAGACTTTCAACGAATCATCAAACAGTTCAGTCAGTGAAATGAAATATTTAGTGAATAAATTAAATTGGACAGACAATAATATGATGAATGCTGAATGCAATATAAACGAAGAGACAGATTCAGAAGTTTTGATATCAGTTGGAAATTATAATTTTACGGATTGTCATCGCAGCTGTCTTATCACTGTTCCCAGATCGGAAATGTGTTCCAATTTAAAGAAAGAAATTGTCTATAATACTCGACTAACATTCTGGTTGTATCTTTTCTTTCGATTGTTAATCGGTTAGTAACTATTTTTAATTTTACAAACAGAAACAATACAAGTAATTAATTCGTAAATAAATTAAGTACACAATTCTGTCCAATTTTGAAGTTCTGCCCAATTAATAATGAGAAATTTCTTGAAAAATAAAATAATAGAAACTAATGAATATATTGATCAAAGTGAATTAATTTAAATTTAACAGCAATGATCGGTGCCATTGCATGGGCAATGTTTGAAGGGGCTGTGATTGCAACATTGAGAGAACAAAAGGCTGATTATGGCTTACAGAGATTTTACGGCAGCTTAGGGGGAATGATATCGTCCCCCCTATCAGGTCTCATGATTGACTCATTTAGTAAAGGAAAAGCTTTCACTGATTTCAGGTACGTAAATCATGATTCAATGATTAGTAGTAAAGTAGTAAATGCATTTACTAATTTAATGTACCCTACCGTCCGTGAGTATCAGGACGCCCCTTTTTTCATGAGTGGAAAAATGCTTAAAACGTAGAAGATAAGAATGACAAAAATTTTTCGTATTTTTGTCCTGAAAGCTAAGGAAATTATGAAAAGACTGACACCTGATCGAAGAATTTTCGTTGACTATTTTGTCAGATACAGAAATAATACTGGATTTTGCATGCTTTTCGTAATTTTTGCACTTTTTCAACAAAAAAAAATTTTTTTTTAATTAAATAATTAAGTAATTAAAAAGCTTTTTTGAATTTTAGTATATCTATTAAATGAACATATTTTACATTGACCTTTTTGACACTTTAATATTCATGATAATTTTTTGAATTTTTTTAATCCTACACGGAAAGAAATCTGGTAAGATAATAATAATATCATTTGAGAAAGTGATAGATTTTTAGGATCAATAGGCGAATAGAATTTAACCATCTAACGCGAGTAATATTAATATGAAAACATGAAAATATTTTAATAAAGGAGCTGCAGATAGAAAGAAAGCAAAAGCCAGTTGTCAGGGTGGCCGCAAGTCAGGGAAAAACTGGAAATCAGGAAAAAGTCAGGCAATTTTGTTATTCAGGGAAAAGTCAGGGAATTTTTAAAAATTCTTTAACAGTCAGGGAATTTTGATCGAAAGAAAACAACAAATTAAAAAACTTTGATACTTAAATGTAAATTCAGTTTTTTATTTAGACGTTTTTGTAATATATAGTTCATTATAATGGTGCCGTCACATTTTTCACATCAAATAGATGGAAATTTTACAACTGGCTTTTGCTTTCTTTCTATCTGGAGCTCCTTTAAAATATTTTCATGTTTTCATATTAATATTACTCGCGTTAGATGGTTAAATTCTATTCGCCTATTGATCCTAAAAATCTATCACTTTCTCAAATGATATTATCTTACCAGATTTCTTTCCGTGTACTTTTACGGTTTCAAATTTTGTTGAAAAAATTTATTTCACAATACCAGTTAATAATTTAGATTCTACATTAAATAGAGATTAAAACAAGACCAAGAGCGCGAAAAAAAGTTAATTAGTTTTCGAGTAATTAAAAAATTACGAAAATCATGCAAAATCCAGTATTTTTTCTGTATCTGACAGAATAGTCAGCGAAAATTCTTCGATCAGGTGTCAATCTGTTCATAATTTCATTAGCTTTCAGGAAAAAATACGAAAAATTTTTGTCATTCTTATTTTCTACGTTTTAAGCATTTTTCCACTCTTGAAAAAAGGGGCGTTTTGATACTCACGGACGGTAGTGTAAATAAGTATAAATCGGTGATAAACTAATTTCGAAATCTATTTTATTATAAATCAGTTGTAGGCTAAGTATAAACTCATATTTGTTTATAAATGTAAATTCATTAATTAAACAATATTAATAACACAGTTTTCCTAAGGATATCAAATTGAGCCAAAAAAATGTATCAAAATTGTTGCATCGCAATAATTGTGATATGTTTTCTGTTTCAATTTGATATCCATAGAAAAACTGTGTTATTAATTGTTTAATTAACTTTAATATTTTAAAAATTTATTTTTAATGAATAAAAAATTTTCTAGGCCAGCTTTCTATCTATATGCTGTTCTCAAAGTCGGTTCAGGTATCCTCATGTTGTTTATGAATTTGGAATTCAAATCGCCAGCAAAAAGTTTATTTAAGGATGTTTACAAGGTGCTCAAAAATGTGGAAATCGTTACACTTTATATCGTTTCCTTCATGTTAGGTAAGTCTATAAATTTTTTTATTTCATTCCAGTTTATAATAAAAAAATAATTCCTCAGTTTTAAATTTGCTCGTTTATAATTAAATAAAATTAAATAATCATGTAACTCCAGTTACTTCGAAAGAAAATTAAAATAATTAATAAAATTATTCATAAGACTTAAATAATTCGAGTGAATAAATTTTAGGCACTGCTTGGGGATACTGCGAATCATTTCTCTTCTGGTTCCTAAAGGATTTGGGTGCATCTCAATCACTCATGGGATCTACCATAACAGTTAGTGGTCTTGTCGGTTTGCCATTATTGGTTCAATCAGGACCAATAATAAACAAACTTGGCCACGCTAATGTTCTCTTCATTGGATTTATTTTTTACGCTATCAGACTTATCGGTAAGATTATATAATTAATTTAACTAACAAAATTCAAGAACTATAAAAATGTTTCTATTTATAATGCCACTATTTTAATTGGTAACATTTACTAAATGCTTACAGGCTATTCACTTATTTATAACCCATGGCTGTCTATGGTTTTCGAAGCATTTGAGTCTGTAACAACTGGACTTGTTGTTACAGCAGCTGTAACTTATGCTGCAAAATTATCAACGACAGCCACTGATAGCACTGTACAAGGATTATTGGTTGGAATTTACTACGGAGTTGGTAAGTAAAGAAAATTATATTATTTCCCAAAAAAAAAATTATTAAGTTTATTTAAATTAAGTTACTATCGTTAAATGTTTTAATCATCATTTTAAAAAAATCAAAAACAAAAAAAAATGTTCAGTAAATACAACATAACTAATCAAATATTAAATAATTTCAGGAAAAAGTTCCGGAGGCTTAATAGGAGGATTCTTGATGGGAGGAGTGGGTACACGTCCCACTTATCAGATATTCGGGGTAGCTTCTCTATTGATAGGTTTAGTTTACTACATGTTCAATGCCACTTATTTGAAGAAGCGTCGTCAAGTTGAGGAAAATCAAAGAACTTTGTGATGAAAGAACTGAAGCAGAAGAAGAAGAAGAGGGAGAAAATGACGTCTACTACAAAATAATCTCGACAACATTGGAAATATTACTAAGAGTTAGATTGTTACACTATGATTAATATTTTGAAAAAAATCCAAAACGTTTTCTGAAAACATAAAATATATGATATTTCAATTATTTAAAATATCTTTGGACATTATTTTCTCTTCTATTTTCTTTCCTTAGGTACATATAATTCTTCTGCCTATTTTTCATTTTTACCAACCATTTTATTATTACCAACAACTATTACAATGTAACCTCGATTATCCGCAATAATTGAGGCTTGACGTAGTTCGAACAACCGAAAGTTCGGATAAATAATAGAAATGGCAAATATTTTAAAAAATGAGGGTAATTTATTAACAATTTCACGTATTGTTAATTTATCACTTTTTTGGATTATTGTAACGGTGATACAAGGAATTTGCAGAGGAAATTAGAGCTCATAAATGTGCAATCGTTACGAATAATTAGCACCCTATTTTCAACTGCTGAAATATTGTCCGTCAAAACGAAATAATATTTCAGTTTAACCCAAAAGTATTACTCAAATTTTTCTTTTTTGAAGCTCTGTCCGTCAGTTCTTATTAGTTGATAATTAATTGTAATTATTTATATCATAATTATATTATTTTTACATTAATATTATAAGATTTTTGTATTTTTTGTTTCAATCACTTATAATAAATATAAAAAATATTGCATTGCTGAACAATATTATTATTTTTTATTATAATTATTATATATAATTATAATATAGTATTGTAATACTATTATTATATATTAATAAAAAATATTAACAATAAAAAGAAACAATAAAAAAGAAACTAACCAAAAATATTATTATATCAGTTTTTTCTACTCTCAATTTGAATTAGTGACTTTTTGGGTTTAAATTAGTAAATTTTACTAATAAATAGTAATTTATACTAATTTTTTAGTAAAATTTACTAATTCAAAAGCAAAAAGTCACTAATTCAAAGTTATAAACATTTTTACTAATTGAAATTTAGAGTCTATATTAATATTAATAATAATAAACTATAGTTATTAACACAGTTTTTCTAAGGATGTCAAATTGAGACAAAAAACGAAGCAAAAGCGTTGCGCGAAGCAATGTTTTGCTTCGTTTTTTGTCTCAATTTGACATTCTTAGAAAAACTGTGAATTTAATGCAAATAATAATAACAATAGTTAATAATTCATTATTACTTTGTTGCTGTTAAATAATTTATTAAAAAGAGAAAAATAATAAAAGAAGAAAAAAAAGAAAAGAAGAAACGTGACGAACCCTGACCAAATGTTGATAAAACAACATATAATTAATATTCATCGCAAGTGATTGAAAAAATTTGAAAAAATTTAGAAGAAATAATTTGTAAAGATTAATTACAAGTTATTGTGGACAATAGAATTACAGTCGTCGTCACTGTTAAGTTACAGTTACAGAGTCTATATATAGGAGGTTCAAAACTTGGTTTACTGGTCACTTATACAAGTATTGTTCAGAGAAGATGAAGAAAAGATTCTTTACTCTTCTCTTTTTATCATTGTCAATTACGATTCCGCAAGTGATTTCGTATTCAAAAGTAACGAAGAATGGCAAGCAAAACGAGGAACTTCAAGGAGAACACGTCGTCGGAATATCCAGGTAATCAAAGGGCGCGAGAATTAGTGATCATTAAAAAAAAATTAATAAACAACGGTTCATCATCATCATCTTTCATCAAATCAACTCAGCACAATTATTTATATCTAAAAATAGAATCTACTCATCATTGACACCGAAAATTATTTTTCGAAATTTCTTAATTAAAATAATTTTTTCAATTCTTGTAAATAAATAATTTATTTACATCTTTTCTCCATAAAAATAACTTTAATTATCTTCCTTTAGCTTCAATTACTATTTATGTGTTAATTATTATTTAACTTTAATCTTTAATTGTAATTTAACATCTTTTAATTTTCTTTTATTAATTTTCATCATTGGCATAAAGAATGATTTTTTCTTTAAATTTCTTAATCAACAATTTTACTTTAAATTCTTCTAAATTTTTAATTTATCAGTTATCACTTTTCATCATTGTCACCGAAAATTATTGTTTAAAATTTCTTTAAAAATTATTTTTTCAATTTCTGTAAATAAATTATTTATTTACATCTTTCCTCCTTTGGAATAAATTTAATTGTAACTTTCTTTAGCTTCAACTATTATTTCAAATTTTAATTTTAATTCAACGTTTTCTATAATTTAAAATTTGCTAATTTTTTTATTTGACTAGACAGTGACGTCATAATGTGTCATCCACAAAAATTCTCCCCATTGTTAATTTATCTTCTTCTGCTTCTTCTTTTTTTTTGTACAAGAATAGACTCGTTAATGACTATTATTATAACTCGGTAATGTTATTCTTTATCGTATTTTTAAGGATTTAGACTTCCGAGAAAAAATATTTTATATGCACTTTTAAAAAAAGTGAGAAAAATAAAATAGCGAGGATTTGTTTTTTTCCTCTCTCAAAGAACTATATAAAATTATATATTTTTATAAATAATGATCGCTTTTTATAGATCGAAGGGCCAAGAAAGTGAAGGTAGAAGTGTGCAGGATATCGTAATTACTGCCTCTCCAATGTTCGTCAATGCCAGGAATCCTATTCTCAAACCTGGAGAAGCTATTGATTATCCAACCACTAAAGGGTGAGAGAAGACAGACGAAAACATTTTTTTTCCTTTTCTTTCAAGAATAAAAAATTTCCATATATATTCGCTTTTGGTGGAATTCTAGTATTTTTATATTCTATATATTATGTTTAAGAAGAAGGTATTGTTTAGAGTCGCATTGAAATTCTTTTTTAAGAAGAAAATAATTTTGAGTTTGGTAGTATTTTCAGTTTATATCAATTTGTATTTGTCTTAGCTTCAATTAATGGTAGCTTTAAATAACAGTAGCTTTAATTCGTTCTGGACTCAGATCACTTTAGATTCAATTAATAGAATTTTCAATTAACTATAGATTTTAATTATAAACAGTCCTTTCAATTAACAGTATTTTTAATTAATATAGTATTTTTTAATTAATAGTAGTTTTAATTTATGATAGCTTCAATTAGTAACGATTATAATTACTTGTAGCTTCAGCCAATAAAAGTTTTTTATTATTGATTATTTCTACTAAGCAGATTTTAAAATAACACCAATTTTAATTGCTACCAACTTTAACTAATGATAGCTTCAGTTAATGATAGTCTAAAAGATATTTCAGCTTCAATTATCAATAATATCTACTAATTTCATTAATTAATGGTAGCTATTAATAATTGCAGCTTCAATTAATATTTAATAGTAACTTCAATTAATGGTAGTTTCAAAAATTACAACTTTAATTTATGATAGTTTCAAAAATTACAACTTCAATTAATAGTAGTTTTAAATAATAATTTTTTAATTAATTACAGCTTCAATTAAGTTTCTTTAATTAGTATTAGTTTCTATCATTTGTAATTTTAATTAATAATAGCTTTAATGAATGGTAGTTTCCTAAAATAGTAGTTAGTAGTAAAAATGGTTTTTATTAATAGTTATATTTTAATGGACAACCGCTTCAATTTTTTTGTAGTTTCTAAGAATTATAGCTTCACTTAGTATTAGTTCACGGAGAAGAATATAAAGTAACTTTTACTACTTTTATAGTAAAAAATTTCCGGTAAAGCATTTCTGTTAATTTTTACTACTTTTGGAATAAATTTTTGCTACGTTCGAAGTACATATTTGTAAAAATTAGTAAAACTATTACTTCGAACGTAGCAAAATTTACTCCAAAAGTAGTAAAAATTACCAGAAATGCTTTACCGGAAATTTGTTACTATAAAAGTAGTAAAAGTTACTTTATATTTTTCTCCGTGTTTTTCTAACAATACCAATTGTAATTGATAATAGCTTCAATTAGTAACAAGTACTTTTCAATAATTGAAAGTTCAATCAATACTTATTTTTTCAGTTACTCAACTCTAGATGAGGAGATGATAGCGAAAATAAAATCCCTGCACTTGAAGAAGAATGTTCAGGATAGATTTCATCCCCCAGCGCCCTTTGAACACGTATTAGCTCACGAGAATGCAAACCGACAACAAAATCGACCAAGTTCAGGGGGATTTTCAAATCCTTCAGCTCTAGACATGAGGCCATCGCCAGTGGGTCCCGATATTACATTCACATCAAAACCTATGATTTCTGGTACCTACGATTATCCACCCTCTAATTTCGACTCCGATGGAACCATTGATTCCAATCCTGATCTCAAAGTAAAGTAATTAATTTATCAAAATAAACATCATATCTATAAATACATATTATTATTTCTATTATTGTATCATTACACTTTAAATTCTGAATATTTCTCACTGATTCAGTTCTAGATTTTATTTTTATTTATTATTTATTGTTTTAATTATTATTATGGTATTTCTATAAGCAATTTTATTTATTATTATTATTTTCAAATCGATTGCTATAAAATTTATAAAAAAATTTCTATTACTATTTTAATTATTATTCCTATTTATTATCCCTATATTTATTATTATTAAGCCTTTTTATTATCTCTTTATTTATTATTAATGTTTTCAATTCTATTGAGTTCAATTCAATTCAATTTAAACTATTATAATTTTGTATTAATATTTTTAAGCAACAATTGACTGACTTCTCACTCACTTTTTTAAATAAAATTAGCAATTTGAAAAACAATATAACGTAACAATTTTTTAATTCAAATTTTTTTTATAAAAATAAATTATGAATTGGAATCTATATATAGTTTTAATATTATTATAATTATAATTATCATATATTCTGACATAGGGAATTCAGTGAAAAGTCAAGAATTTTTATTAAATGTACTGAAAAAAATTAAATTTTTTATATTTATAAGAAAATTCTGAATTCAATTATTCAAAAAATTTGTTAATAAATTCTTTATAAGAATTAAATTTTAAGATACATTCAATTATTAAATAAATAATTTACTTTTGTATTTAAATAATTGAATTCTCGTAGAATTTTCTAATAAAAATTGATTTAAAAATGAATTTTTGTTTAAATTTTTAATAATATAATACAATATAAAAATATTGAAAATATATTTTAAGAAGTTACAGTAACAATATTCTTATAATATAAAATAAAATAATGATTTTAACACTCGATCCTTTTTAATTATTAATTTATTATAAAACATAAAGAAATCGATCACTCCGAGTCGAAGACTCGGAGTAATCGTTATCTTTATGTTTTATAACAATATTTTTAAAGTTGATTAATTTTAAAAAGGTTTGAATTTGAAATTTTTAAAAATGTTAATTCCTATGGAAAAATAATAATAATACAATATTTAAAAAATAAATTATTGTTTTCGAATAATTTTACAATTAAAGATATTCGTAAATAAATTTAACAGAACATTTTTTTCAATAACATTTTTTCCTTTATTTTCTAAAAATTAAAAAATTTTCAGTTTCATTTTTAATTAAATTTTCTAATTGACAATTATAATTTATAAACCTTTCTTTCATTTATTTTTAAAAAACTTTGAATTTTATTAAAACAATTGAAATTAAGAAGTAGAATTGATGCAAATTATTTCCTTATGAAAATTGAGAATTTTCTACAAAAATATTAAGAAATGGGAATATTAAATGTTTTTCTTCTCAAAAGAAAAAGATGAGTTTGTAAACAATATTGTTATTGAAAAATAAAAATTATGCATAAAATGGGTTTATTTCCTACTTCTTAACCTTCGGAGAACACAACCTCTTTTTTAGATCATTTTTCAATGCTCAACCAATTTTGAACTGTTCATCTGATTAACCTAAAGATTTTTTTAAAATATAGTGTAAACTCTGTAAAATAAGTCTGTGGACTTTAAAATCCTTATAAAAAATATTAAACAATAGATAAAAAGCTTTTCGCAAAAAATCGTGGGGTCAAAATGACCCCATGTGTTCTCCGAGGGTTAATAAAAATTCTTTAACAGTTAACAATTTTTTAGTATTTTTTATAAATAAAATAGAGAATAAGAGTAGAGATGATTCTATCACTCAGTCGTATTTTAATAAATAGTGAAATTTAACTATCACCAAGAGTCAAGGAATATAAAAATAAAAGAATTGAATTTCTTTTATTTTTATATTCCTTGACTCGGAGTGATCTTTAAATGTCACTATTTATTAAATTAAAATAGAGAATAATTTGCGTAATAATTTAGATCAGTCAAACGAAATTTGTTACAGAAAAATGCAAATAACTAATAAAATGGGTATATTTAATTATTGTTAACTTCCTCCATTCTTTAAAATGGGTATATTTTTTATTTCTTAATCATATTAATTATGATAATTAACACATAGTTAGTTAATTAATTAAAACACTTTTTTATTATCTATCCATATTTAAATTTTTTCCGGAATTATTAATTATTAATTATATCTATTTATTATTATTAATTACTTTAGTTCTATTGAATTGAATGCACGGAAAGAAAATTTTCTTAATTTTTTTTTATTTAAAAACCCGCTTATAGAATAAATAAAATAATAAATATAATAATATAATAAATAAATATCATGCTGCTAATAAAATCAAAATAAATTCCTTCGTCTATCTATTTCTTCTTCTTCTTTTTTCCCTTCTTTAACTTTTGCAAACTATTTTTTGCCAACAGGCACCAACATATTACCCAACGGATTCCTATCTAAATGGTCATCAGATAAATCACGAATCATCACACAATTCCTATGATAATAAAAAGCCAATGTATGGTGATGATCCTCCAAAATCAGTGGACTATGAAACACAATTTGACGCTCCCCCCATTCACGAAGGTGGCAGCAGTGGCTTTGTTTCTAATCACGACTATCATCCTGATGTCATCTATGATGATCACATCGACGATGATCATCATCATTATCATGATTATCATGATTATCATAAGACAACAACAACAACAGAGATGCCTGAAATGAATGATCAACGTCTCAGCAAGAGGCCTTATTCCTATTATTATATTGGCAGAAAACTTTGGTATATTCCACTCTACTTTAGCATTTATTTTATCATCTACATTGCTGCACTTGTTCTGAAGAGTGTTGCCAGGCATAAGATCAATTTCCCTTCAAATTTAGCAGCTGCTGCTGGTAATGGAAGAAGTTCCTCTAATCAAGATAGTGAAATGAGCTGGTGGGATTATACGGTGTGGATTCTTGATGCCATTGAGAAATATAAAAAAATGTGAAAATCACAATTTTTATATTGTTTCATACGGAATTTTGATATTTTTTTTCTTTGCTATGAATTTTATTTAAAAAATTTTTTTTATTTTAATTTTCGTATATATTTTTGTATTTTTGAACATCAAAAAGTTATTCACTACTTTACTGTTTATTTCTATACCTTTTTATTTTTTCTTCTTTAATTGTTTGAGCAGAAATAATTAAGGGACATTATAAAAATTTTTATGTAGATTATTTCTGGTTACAAGTTTTGTTAACGGAAATCTTAATTTTCTTTTGAAATTAAAGATGAGTTTTTAAAAATAACTAATTAGTTAAGAGTCTAAACTCAAAAAAATCGACCAAAGACTGAAATCAAATTAAATGTTTACTAAATAAACAATTTATTTACTATTACATAATTAAATATCTAAAAAATATTTTTAAATATTAATATATTAATATGTATATTAATTTTCTAAAGAATCAAAAGTCACTGTTCCACTGATAAACAGTGGTACATTTTTGCTTTTTCAATAAAAGTAAAAAATAACTGATTGTCAGATAAACATTGATTTTTAACTGATTCGAATTTAGGGAGTAGTAAAATTTAAATTTATATCACTCAATGGTAATTAATAATAGAGATAATAAAAATATTTATTTATTTAAATTAAAAAACTACATTGTAAATAGAAAATTAAAATATCCACTGTATAATAAACACGATGTAAATTATTTTGTTGTAGAGTATGATCAAATGTTAATTAAAATTTAAGAATACGATGTAATTATAAAAATTAATTAGTCATGTGCGTGAAGAAAAATTAATAAACATAAGTTTCCTTCAGACAAATTAATCATTTGTTTATTATTTTCCCTTCCCTGATAAAACTATTTTATAAATTAATAATTGAATTGTAAAATTTGAGAACGAATTAAAAAAATGTACAAAAGGTATTTATTTTTAAAATATCTAATTAATTTTGAATGAGTTGATTTTGGAACGAATTTTCCTGTATATTACTTAAACTAAATTTTTTTTATCTTTTATTAATATTAGGATTTATTTATTTTTTTATTTATTTATTTATCGTAATAATTAGGATTTATTTATTTCAATCTAACTAATTATTATAACAATGATAATTATTTTGACAAGAATTTTTTTAATTAAATTTAAAACATTTCAGACAATAAAAATAATAGTGATAATAATAATAATAATAATAGTAATAATTTTAATAAAAATAATGTAATATCATTTAAGTAGATTAGAGTTGAATAAAAATAATTGAAGTAAAAGTCACAAAGAGAAAACAATGTTTTTCCATAACTGTTTGATTTTGATATATAACTGAACTATTATTGAAAAAAAATTCTCCCAATTAACACTTGAAGATTAGATTATTATTTTAACGGGATTTTGTCGTGACTTGCTAATCATTCACACTAATACAGACAATGAAATAAAGTGTCTGAAATTTTGTTGTGTCACTGCACGATTGTCGATCTTATGCAATTAAACAACAATCACTGATTGTTTATACAATCGAGAAAAATTCAATACCACTTATTTATTTATTTAAAAATCAGAACATTCAAAACTAAAATATCAAAATTAATTGTAATATGTAATTAAAATTGTACTATCAATTGAAGTCACTATTAGGTGAATTTATTATTAATTGAAGCTACACTGAAAAAAAAATTATTTGATTCAAATAACCGATTAATTGACTATTATCAATTAAATATTTACTTGAATCAAATAATATTTATTCGAGTCAATTAAATGGTTTTTGAATCAATAATTTCAGTATTTGAAGCAAATATGAACTTAACCATTTAATTGGCTCCAATAAATATTGTTTGATTCAATTAAATATTTAATTGATTATTAATCGATTATTTGAATCAAATAAATTTTTTTCAGTGTGCTATTGCTTAAGTTGCTATCAGTTGAAATTACTAACGAAGAAAAATATCAAGAACTGAAATTACAATTTATTAAAAGTATCACTGATTGAAGTTGCCATTTAGTAAAATTATTAACGAAATTTAACTACCCGTAAATAAAGCACTTATCAATAAAGTTAAAAGTCACTGAAGCTACAATACAACTGTTAAAAACTCGTGTTATGGTAAAAAAAATAAAAACGATTGAATTAAAATTGTTATAAATAGGTAGAAATTAAGGTTAAAAAAGTTTTAGTTAAATTAAAAAATATTAAAAGTTATAGTAAAAATAAAAAATAAAAAAAATGAAATAAATAAAATATCCAGTTAAAATTAAATTAAAAATAAGTTAAAATAGTATTTAAAATTCTTTCTATTGTTTGAAACTATTGCCACCTATCGAAATTACAAAAATTCTCAGAATAGCTAACAGTAGCTTATAGTAACTACAACCAAAGACTACTGAAATTTTTCTCAAACTACATATCCAATTGCTATTTTCATTCTCAAAGCAAAAAAAAAACGTTCGACCTTCGCTAATTACTCTAAGAATTTTTAAAAACGAAAATTTCATTCACAAATCGACTGTAATTTTAGTCGACGACTCTATGTCTGGCTTGCGGGAGCAATTTTCTAGTCTGTTTCCCACATTGTAATATTGGTAACAATTAGGAAACTTAACACCTCAAGGGATAGTTTACTTAACCGTTTCTGGGTGATACAGTTACGAATGTATGCAAAAGACAAGAGCATATTTTGCATTCAAACTTGAAACGTTTCATCAGTTATTCATATATTATCTCTATAAAAAGTTCTTTGTATGCAACAATATTTTTTCAAATAAAATAAAGAAGACAAATTTTTTTTAATCATTATAATGTAGCTAACAATTAGCTATGGAATGTAACAATGAAAAATACCATTCAATGGCTAATTTACAAAATCAAGGGTGGATTTATAATGAAAGTGAAATAAAAGACGGGGGAAAAATTATTCGTTGCAACTAATCTTAGTGATATGATTGTTTATAGTGTTTTAATAATGATATCCGAATCATTGGTGAATGTTTGAAATAATTTCGATTTAATTGTCAGGTAAGTAGATAAATTAAAGGAGCTTTGTATTTTTTATTAGAAGTTTTTGATTATTATAAATTATAGGGGAACATAGTCTAGGTCGGCCACCTTTTTGACTTTTGTTTATAACTTTTTTTTAAAAATAAATTTGGACAATTGAAGTATATGGTTGGAAAGTCCTGTTTAATAGGAACATTTTTTCTGTACAAAGTAAATTGACAGGTTTAAAAATGAAAAAGTTATAAAGATTTAAAAAAAAAAAAATTTGTAGTCCAGGTTGGCCATTACAGTCAAGGTCGGCCATGTTTAAAATTCAAAGGGCATTAATCGTTAAAAAATAAAATAACATGTTTGGAGTTACGGAAAATTGATTCTTTATTGTTTACAGTTTGTAACTTAATGAAATAACAAAATAATAAAAATAAACAATATAAAAAAATAAATATAAATAAAAAAAAATTTTGCACTAAAATATTAATAAAATTAAATAAAAATATTAATAAGATGATCAATTATATTATGAGTTATACAGAATTGCAGTTTTTGCAAATGAAGTAGCTCGTCCTCATCTTTGCGCATTTTAAACACATAGTGGCCGACCTTGACAGTAAGTAACATTACCGAATTGTTGTAACCATAAAGAAATACGTTTCGGGATTCGATTTTTTACTTTGTTTTCCTTTCAACCATGAGTCCCACAAATTTTCTGCATACTTGCCTTGACGATTCAATTTGTTTTTTATCTTTTATTAATGGTTTTTCACATTATGCACAAAACTTTTTTTGAGCTTTTTTTGTACCGACGTCACAGAAAACACAATTTTCGATTTTCCGAAAATGTAATTGAACAAAAAGTTAGGTTTCACTAAGACAAGCTTCGACAAAAATGCGCGTAGGTGGCGCTAGTGAACTTGACAAAAAAACGCGAGTGGCCTACCTAGACAGTAGGCCAACCTTGACTACATTCCCCTAATAATAGATGACAATTTTTATATTTCTTTTCTTTTATTTAAATAAATAAATAATTAAATAAAAAATTCCATTACAATTATCATAAATAATAAATACTATAATTACATGCGAGCATTATGCAATTTATCATTATAATTTTGGTTTTTGTACGCCCGTTAATACTAAATAAATAAGTAAATAATTTATAATTATTATAATTAATAATTAATTATTTGTAATATTAATTTATCTCCCTATATAATAAAAAGATTTCGCTGCCGGGTACAGCCCCCCCCCCAAAAAAAAGAGCCGTTACGTTACGTCAAAAATTAGGTCAAATTTGACCTGTTTTAAAACTGCAAATCGAAGACCATTACTTTAAGTCAAAATTTAGGGTAAAGGACGACGCACAAAATGTACATAAATTGGTTCCCGGTCATATCTGTTAATATTTATTGGTTACATTTGTTCCAAATTACTTGAACTCAGACATAAATCCAAAAACCAAAACAAATTTCACCGGGAACCAAATTATGTACTTTTTGTGCGGAATCCTTTAACTTCTTTTAGGTCGATTTTGCCCTGTTTTTTGACCTACAGGTAGAAAGATGCAAAGATCAAATTTATCCCTCAGGTCGGACGTCAAAAATAAATTACAAAATTTTTTAAAATAAATTTAAAAATTTAAATAAATTTTACACATGAAAAAATTGAACAAATTTTGTAAAAAGCTAAAAATTAGATCCCCTCCGATTAAAAAAAATTCTAAAGTTATGTGCAAAAAAATCAAGTTGTAATTAATTTAAGATGAAACCAAGAAAAAAAAGGGAGGGAGCAGAGCCCTTCTAGCAATAAATATTATAATTTATAATAATCTAAGATCGTTAAAACTTGTTTAAAAAAATTACCATGAAACTACTTGATTTGAAGTAACATCAATTTTTTTTATTTTATTTTAATTACGTTAACAATCGTATCTCATAATCATCAACTAAAGAATAATTAATTTACGCGATAATGAATTAAGCATACGATACAGAGATAATTTTTTTTTTCTAGAATGGAAAGTCGATTTCTATGTCATTTCGCACTACTTTTAATTTCTGTACATTGTGCAACAGCCGATGAAAGAGAATCGAAAGAAAATGAAAGGCAATTAGAAGAAGAAATCACGACACAATCTACTGCAGCAGTAGCAACCACTGAATCATTCAGGTAAACGGTAAAACTTTGTATAATGACATCAAGACTTAATTGTCCGCAAATGTTAACTATTTAGACATTTAAGAATTACTACTTGCATGAATAAAAAATTACCAAACTTATCGAATAAAAGTAAATAATATATAATTATTATATAACTTATTGTCAAATGAGTAAAATTAATTAAAATTACCAATTGAAAACTGTCAATTAAATTATTTTTGAGAAATTTAGACACAGAATTTCTTCTTTTAATTATTAAAAAATCGTTCACTGATTTTTTTAATTAATTTTAACAATAATAATAATTTAATATTTTTTTTAATTTTGCAATATAATAAATTTTTACATTTATAATTTAATCATTTAGAAAAAATTCTAATATTTGAATAAAAATAAGTAAAATTCTCTTCATTTGCCCAATAGTAAAATATTCTTCGGAATTTCCAAACAGTTTAAATTTTACTTTGTACTATATTCTTACTACAATAAAAACAGAACTAACAATTTTTTTTGTGCAGTTAAATCTTAGAAGACTTTCTGATTTTGCAATCAGTGAAAAATAACTGACTTTCAGTAAAAACAAAGTTATTAGCAGTGAAAAATTTACTGATTAGCAGTCAAAAATACTAAAACAATTAGTTCTGTAATGAATTTATAGGTAATAAAAAAAGATTTCAATTTTTGATTACTATCAGCAGAAATGATTGTCAGTAAAAAAATCAGTAAAAATTTAATTATTTTAAGTGGTGACTGAATTTTTGTCTTTGCTTATGTAATAAATAAATAAAAAGGATGATAGAAAATAAGTGAAGATAAAAAGTAGAATAGAGAAAATAGAAGATTTACAGAATACAGGCTATAATAAAATTAAAAAATAAAATTTTGAAATAAATAGTTTACAAAAATAAACAGTAAAAAATAAACAGTTAAAAATAAACAGTACCTAAAAAAGAAGACATAGAAATAAAGTTATAAATAGTATTAAAAAATTTGAAAAAAAATATATGAAAATAGAAGTTATACGTAGAGAAAAAACAGAAAATAAACCAGTAGGAGAAAGAAGGAAAAGAATTTGAAACTGTTTTCTTTTTTGAGAAGTTAATTATTGTACTTTACTTGGACAGGCATTCGCGATGGTATCGTTATGGTAATGAGATGAAAGAAGCCGAACGCGGCTATCACAATGAGGACGATGAACACTTTGACGATCATGACATGGATCATGATATGGACGTGGAAATGGAGAATACAAAGGCCATGACACAGCCAAAAGCTGAATATTGGAATGGCTACTATGATTTTCTCATAAATGAGGGGAGCTACAAATTCTGGGCAGTTTTTCAGGTAAAGTTTACATATTTTTCCCCTGTAATTAAATTTACATAATTTGCCATATGAATAATACAAAAATTTTTTTTTTCTATAAAAAAAATTCCAATCGGAATGTAAAAGAAGAAGAAAAAAATTTTCCTATAACATTTTACTAAAAATTAGTTAAAAATTAGTCATGTGAATAATTTAAGACTCACTTTTTACTAATTTTAGTAGAGAATTTATTTATGATTTAATTAGTCAAACTTAATTTTCAGTCATTTTTTTTTACTACAAATCAGTAACTTTTAACTTTCAATCAGTAATTTCGAAACTGACAAACATTAATATTTTAACCATCAGTCAATTATTTTCAACTACTAATTCTTATCAATTATCAATCAGTTATTCTTATTGTTAATCAGTTACTTTTATAGCTATTAATTATTTTTCATTTTTTTACTATCAATCAGTTATTTTTAACTACCAAACAGTTATTTTTATCATTAAAAATCACTAACTCTTGTTATCAATCAGTTATTTTTAACAATTAATTAGTGACTGACTTTTTGCTTTCGAATTATGAAATTTTAATAATAAATATAGAAGTTCCTACTAATTTATTAGTAAAATTTACTAATTCAAAAGCAGAAGGTCAATCACTGATTCATTATGGAAAATATTAATAGTTAATTAAAATATTAATAGTTTTGAACACGAAAATCTAACAGTTTAACAAAACATAAATGCCAATGTCGACAGCTTGCAACAGCTGCACTGTTAATATACAGCGGTTTTGCGGCACTTTATTACGCAAAGGTGAATCCACCAGCATCTCCCGACTACGAGGACTATTTCCTCAGAAGAAGGCGAAGAAGAAGACGAAGAAGATCATTCGAATTTAGCCCGCAAGAAAGAATATTCTTCAGTCTTGGGTCAGAGAGGGTTCAGCGAATACTAGACGCGATTGCGAAAGAAATTCACTAGATAACAAATAATATATATAAATGTATGTGAATTTTCTGAATTCTTGTCCTTTTGAAAATTTATATTATTATTATTATTATCGTAGTTCTTTAAATTCCTTATTCAGTGAAATGATAATTCACTTAATTTACCGGACAATGCATATAATCGATAATCAAAGTTACAAAATATCAAAAGAGCAGAAATATTCTTTGTTTATTTAATTGATATTCCAAACCTTACATTCAGGAAATTAAAGAGAAAATATTTTTTTATTTCTTTATTTTTTACTGGGGAAAAGAATATTAAATAACTTTTACTGTATTTATAAAGAAAAATCTAAACTATATTTACAGATAATTTTTGTAATTTTTGTTGCAACTTTTGCTACTTCAGTATAGTAAATTTTCCTGCGGCTGAAATGCACCTCACTAATTTTTACTAAAATTTATCTGTAACGAATAGCAGAAATATTATTCTCTTATTTACTTATTATTATTTATTTATTTACTATTATTATTTATTTTTTTTTAATATTTATTATTATTTATATTATTTCACTCTAAGGAATTTGAAGAGTTCAATGTAACTGTAAATATATTAAACTAATAAAAAAATTTTTTGTTTAATACCTTCAGAAAAAGCGCCATTTTACATTAACAAAATTGTAAGCAACACAGTTGTTGATTTATGCTCAATGAAATTTTGTTGTACTGTACAAAAAAGGACAATTTTCTACACTGTTTTTATAATTTTGCTGCAAATGGTGTAGAAAACTATAATTTTCTGTACTGCTTTTTAAAATTTTTGTGCATACTGTGCACTACTCTGTACTGTATTTTAATCATTTTTTTGCTTACAGTACAGAAAAGTATAATTTTCTTTACTGTTTTTTGTATCTTTCCTCCAATACATTTATTTTGTTGATAGGAAAACAATTTTAGTCATATTTATCATTTAATAAGTCAGTTTCTCCAATACTGTAAAGAAAAGTATAATTTTCTGCACTATTTTTTTAACTCTTCTGCATACTGTACAGAAAATCATATTTTTCTTCACCGTTTTTTAATAACTTTTCTACATTGTATACAGAAAAATACTGCTTTCCTTATCATATTATGAAACTGTTTTGCATACTCTACAGAAAAGTATGGTTTTCTCTACTGCTTTTTAATATCTTTTCTGCATACTGTACAGAAAAGACTACTTTTCTTCACTGTTTTTTGTAACTTTCCCCCAATACTGTAAAGAAAAGTATACTCTTTCTAATGTTTTCTAAAAACCTTCCTGCATACTGTGCGGAAAAGTATTCTTTTCTCTACTGCTTTTTAATAGCTTTTCTGCATACTGTGCAGAAAATAATTCTTTTTCTCACTGCTTTTTTTAACTTCTCTGCATACTGTACAGAAACATATACTGTGCAAAAAAGGATACCTTTCTTCATTGTATTATTTGTTGTTGCTGCATACTGTGTTGAAAATTATTCTTTTCTCTACTGCTTTTTTTCTAGAGATGCCAAAAAGGGGTACTTTTTCTCACAGTATTTTTTGTCTTTGCTGTATATTTTTCTATAGTACTTTTTTTTATAACTTTTTAGCATAATATAAAAAAAAACTCCGCATAATTTCGTATAAAGCACAGATAGTTTTTCAAATAGCCAACACAGCCTTACATTTATTCTTTCAAACAATATACAGAATGGCGTCTTTTCCCAACAGGTATTAAACAAAAGACTTTCTACTCCACGAGCGAAAAGTAACATTTTTCCACTAGGTAAAATTACTGTATGCGCCCTTTTCTACTCTTAGTCCAAAATCTTCTATTTTAGACCCAAATTTCCTAACTCTATCATAAAAAAATTGTAATTCTTAAAGAATTTTCTTTTTGTAAACTTTGTTAAAATTTATATACGTATTGTAAGAATAGTTGACTTTTTTAGTGTCTGCAGTGTGTGTATATGTGTTGCGTGTGCATTGTGATAAATTTACCCTCTATTGCCACATGGTGATCGTACAATTTCATGGAATTCAGTTAGTTATTCTGAGAGAAATGTTAAAAGTGTCTGCCGTCTGTTTGGCTGTCTACCAATACAAAACTTTCTTATTTACTCCTGTAATATATACAATGTATTTGTGCTGGATAAAAATAAAAACGTCAAGTTGTCGTGGATCTGGATCATGGATAGTATAGTTCATCTTGAATGAATTGTCAAGAGGAAAAACTGGTATTTCTCGACCCTGAATTAGAATTCAAGGTCCACATTCAAGAAATGCAGGTTTCTCAATCTTCACTTTACTTATTTGCAAGCGCAATTTTTTTTCTCTCTTCCCTTTTGTCTAAATTACACTTAATTCTAAAAAATTTTACCATATACAGTAATTTCATTCGTTAAATCACGCCTCGAGTGAAACAAGCAATAATTGAATTTATCACATATAAGTTAAAATTACCCGTATAGAAATTTCCCTACTATGACCATATTAGGGAATGAAACACATGGCCCGACCTGGGCCAGATCGGGGCGACGATCAAATGTGGATTTCCTGATCAGGGCCATGTCGGGCCGTGTGTTTCATTCCCTAATAGGGAAGGCCCGATCTGTCCCTGATCTGGGCCATAGCGAAATTTCTACACGGGTACCATTAATAGTTTAAAAATGATATTAAATCGAGAATCTGTCAAAAAAAAATTTTTAATTTTGAATACTTAATTAATATTTAGTCAACCTATACATAACTGCTTCGAAAAATCACTAATATAAACATCATTTAAATTTCTAAAAAAGCTCATCCTTTTAAAAATTTAAGTTAAAAAAGTTAAAAATCATATCAACATTGATTAAAGCTACAGTTAGTAAATAAAATATCCAAAAATTGAAGCTACAATTAATTTAGCTTACTGCAAATTGAATGTAAAATTGAATAAATCTAACAAAGATTAAAACTACAATTGAAGTTATCAGGGACTATAACTACAATTAATTAAAGCTAACAGAGATTGAAGTTTATAAATTACAAGTAATTAAAAATTAATAGTAGTTTCGACTATTAATGTAGTTCAAATATTTAGGGTTGACACAAAAATTAATTTTGTTTTTCCTTGATAATTCCCTACCCTAAGAAAATTCTGATTCACTGTCAAAATGATTAGATACTCAAAAATTTCAAATTCAAACCTTTTGAAATTTAATGACTTATAAGAATTTTTTATAATAATTAAAGATGACTGAGTGATAAAATCATTATTAATTTATATTATTAGAATATTGTTACAGTTTAACATCTTTAAAAATTATTTTCATCATTTCAATTCAATTATTATTTTTCTACAATTTTCAAATAAAATTCTTCTTTAAATCAATTACTTTAATAATTTTTAAAAAATAATAGAGTTGAAATTATCGATCACATAAAAAATAATTTTTAAAAAAGTTTATTAAAAATTTTCAAATAGATTTCTTTACAATTCAATTTTACAAAATTTCGATTATTCTGAAATTCTTCAATTAAATATATATAATAGAGAATAAAAACTTGAAATAATTTTTAACAAATTCAATTAAACTTTGTAAAAAAAATTAATTTTACAGAATTGTTAGTTAAAAAATATGAAATATTCTAATTATCAAAGATTTTAATTTGAAACCTTTTCAAAATTCAATTATTTCTAAAAATTCACCCTAATATTTTTCTAGTATTTAATTATTATCTACAATTTTAACTAAACTTAATTTTTAAATCAATTTTTATTATTAGAAAAATACTACAAGAATTCAATTATTTAAATATAAAAATAAATAAGTTATTGAATAATTGAACGTTTATTTAAAAATTGAGTTCCAATAAAAAATTTTGTCATCAAATTTTTAAATAATTGAATTTTTTCAAATAATTTTAATAAAATTTTTAAGAATAATTACATTTTTCGAGGAATTCAATTAAAATCGTATTAAAAATAATTTAAATTCTGCGATGAGTTTTATTACTTTGGAAAATAATTGAATTCTTGTAAAATTCTTATTATTTAAGAAAACAATTAAATGTTTGCGAAGAATTTAATTAAATTTTTTTAAATAATTGAATTTTTTGGAAAATTTTATTATACAATAGTAGATATTGAAAATCATTGAATTGAGGAAATTTTTTTAAAGTAATTGAAATGTCGCTAAGAATTTTATTAGAATTTTTGAAAATAATTGACTTTTGGAGAAGAATTTTATTATTTTTAAAGATATGTAATTAATTAAATATATGTTACAAAATTTAACTAATTTCAGAAGAATTTGAATATTAATAAAAAAATTTCAAAACTCTTAGTTTATGATAGTTCTTCAAGAATTAAGTTATTTAACAGCATGTGACTGTTACAGAAATCAATGTTAATTTTTTCGACCACTTTTCTCTTAAAATATTAAATAAATTAAGCTAGTTTTTTGTATATAACTTTAAAATATCATAAAGAAGGGCAGTGATGTGAAAAAGTTTTAATATTTTTGAAATTATTTATTAAAAAATAACTTTAAAATTATCAGTTCTCAAAATCACTTTTAATCAATTTCTCGTCTTTTCCGATTTCAAAGTATTTTTTTATAATTTATTTTAGAATTATTAAAACTTTTGCACATCACTGCTCTTCTCTATTATAGTTTAGAGTTATTCACAAAAAACTAGCTTAATTTATTTAATATTTTAAGAGAAAAGTGGTCGAAAAAATTAACATTGATTTCTGTAACAGTCACATGTTGTTAAGAAATTATTATTAGAAATAGAAAAAATTGAAGGATTTATATTAGAATTCGTGCTAATTTCATAGTTTATGAGGCAAACAAAAAGCACAGAAAAATTCAGAATTTTCTTATGAATTTTATAAATTAAATTTTTTTCCCATACTTTTAATAAAATTTTCTGACTTTTCCCTGATTTCCCTGACCTGCGGCAACTCTGATATTAGTAATTTAAAACTAATTCTATCTTTAAAAAACATAATTTATTTACTGACTCTAAAAGAATAATTTAGTTCAATTTGTTTGAAAAAAGAAACTCCTAGAAATAATTTTTCAAGTAAAAAAAACATGAAAGAAATGCGCTAATAACAAAATCATGTGAACAAGTTTTCAGCGCGGTTTTTTCGCCTATTGAAATCAAATGATTATAAATGAAGTTCTTTTTTGAGTG